AAGGGGGGGGGGGGGGGGGGGGGGGGAAAGACATCCTCCCTCCCTGCCTCACACTTAACTAAGCACTTCTTGATGAAACGGAACGGCAAGTTTCAAAAAGGAATGATGCATCTGCAGATTGAACATACACCAAGACTAGATTTCCCCTTCCCCTTCAACCCCCATGTTTGCTGATGCAGAAGAGAATCAAAACATCTGGTTAGAACTGGGAGAGTTTAAACACCCCATGAAAAACAGTGCTGCATTTAAAATGCCTTGAAGAGCTCCACCAGAGCTGAGGCAGCAGTGTGAATTGTGGCCGTGCAGCCCCCAAGCCAGTAGCCAGTTTTAAGATGCATACGAACTAATGAGAGTTTCCAGAAGGGATTTTCCCATGTTGGTCTCAGTACTGGGTTGGTAGCCTGGCAGAGGAAACTAAACCCCTGGATACAGAGATAAGAACAGGTCAAGGAGCCACTATCAGAGAGCAGTTAGCTCAAGATTTACATTTGGCAAAAAGATAAAACAAAGGACACATTTTCACTTTTAAGCTAGCACTAGCCCATAGGCCGCACAGACATGGATGGGAATAACTGAGATGATGCTTTAGTTCAGGGGTGGGCAAAATGCAGCCTGTGGGCCAGCTGCCGCCCGCTATGCAATTCTATCCAGCCTGCTGGGCCCCTAAAAAATTTAGAAAATTAATATTTATCTGCCTCTGTCTGCCTGTCATGCAGCTCTGAATGGCTTGCCAAAACTCAGTAAGTGGCCCTCCACCCGAAATAATTGCCCGCCCCTGCTTTAGTTAGTGGTTTCCATTAAGACATCTGCACTGCTCTGGGAGTCTGAGGCATCAGAGCCAGAAACTGAAACACATGCCTGCCTGTCTAAGCATTGTAGAAGCAGCTTCTCATATGCCTACACACTGCACCCCACTGCAAATCCTCCCCTCCACTAGATCAAAGCACCCAGACTGCAGTGCTTCCTAGGACCAATTATCTCCCAGAATAGCTGAATGGAAGTGCATCCAATTTCCCCAGCAATAAAGAGCTTGCAGTCAAGTTTGTTTGCCCACCCCCAAAGGTGGCCCTATCCCTACTCTTTTATGATGCTGTGGACCCTGCCTGACCCTCAGCCTTCAGAGTCAGGCACACCTGCCAGGTAGCAGAGTCCCAAAAAGCAAACCAAATGTGTCACAGACAATGTGACTAACTTTGGGAGCAGAGACACACTAAACGATGTGTCTGCAAGTCTAGTCACAGCGACAGCAGACAGGGCAATGAAAGGAGCAGTCATGTTTAAATGCAAGAGGAAGAATTGGAGCATTAGATTTTTGCCTGTTGGGACTAGGCACTTGTATACACAAAGAATGGAGATGGACTTGTTGAAATGCACACCTTCGGTTGCTTGGCATTAGCCTCTGCTTGCAAACTCATTGTGGAATCAGAACCCTGTTCCAGTAAATAAAGCCTGGAATAAAAGCAAACAAGCTATGAACCAAGACAACCCTACTCTGTGTCTGCGCACAAACTAGCACCCAAACACCACAGAAATCAATGAGTGGTTTGGATATTTCAGTCCGATTACTATGCAAACAAGTTCTGCAAAGCCAATTTATGAAGACAGCTCAGGCTTTTGAATATGGAGCTCTCCTAAAAAACTCACCAAGTCCCTTCTCGCTTGCCACTAATTTAATGCCAATATGCACGACTAATATAGAGGTTGGTCAAATTCCAGGCTCAGATCACAAACAAGGAAGCAGATGATCTTTGGTTTAGGCAGCATCACCAAAAGTACATCTACTCTGAAGTCACTGCAACTGTAGACATCTGCAAGCTGCAGTCACTGTGACACAGACAGAACAAGTCGCTGTGACACAGACTACCATTAAGCACAACCACGATCTACCTTTCTCTTAAGGGAAATGCATGGCTGAATTAACAAGGGTTGGGTGAGTCAGGATGAAAAAGTATTGGCAGAGCATGACAGCGCTGTCAGAGGTAAACTTGCACAATACCTGCCCACTTTGTACCACACTCCCATAGTCCCTTGCTATGATAAATGAGTCTATTCACCAAGTCGCTAGCGAGGAATGGAAATGTTTCCACTACAGCCAGTACAGCAGACTTGACCACTCAGGGACAGAAACCTCACCCCTGCACTGTAGAAACATGGTTTGGTATCCTTGCTGTACACATAGCACCTACCCCATGGCACCCACCATGAGGACTCTGATCGGAGCCGTCCCCAGTGTCCCTTCTCCCTAGCCAGTCCCTACACCCCACGTTCTTCAAAGTTCAGGCAGCTTCTAACCATACTGGTAGCCACTACACCTGGTGACAGATAGCCACTAACACCTTCTGCTTGCCCTACAACCCAAAGATTTTCCAAAGCACACTTAAACACTAAAAATAGGTCATGAAATTACATGTGAAACATTGATCAGAAAAACGCAGAAAAAAGCTTCCGTCACTCCTTTTGCTGGCGCAGCGGGGAGGCTCCAGGCATTGTGAAGTCTATGGAATGGATCAGACAAACAAATCCCAATGACTTTTGTTACATAATGCCATCACTATGCAGCTGAAAAACTGCTACACCCACCCACCCCTACCTTATTTCCCAGAGATTCACATTACACAGGAATAAGCAGAGTGGAGGCGTCTCAGAGGTGGCAGATACCTGTTTTCACAGCAGCCTTGACACTCACAACTTGAAACAAGCAATCGCTGCCGCTAATTAAAGAACCCCGTAATACCCCTTAGTAACATACGTTTTGCTTGGAGCACAGCACAAGCAGCTCCTGCTTCTTTCTGCCGTTTCGCCACCCGTGACCCACATTCCCATCTCAGCCTGGTGTTATTTGCAACAGAAATACTGCTAATACGATTCATACCTCGCAGGAAGAGGCAACCTCAATGCCTCACGTGCAAGCCTCCCCGCTCCTCTTCCTCGATGTCATTGCTTCCTTTCATCAGGTGCCAGCTAACCTAGACTGTGAACTTCTTGCAGTAGGGACCTTGCCCTCATCCTCTCTGGGAAGTGCTAATTACAATGTTAGAAGACAAGAAGAACTGGGGTGTTTTTTCCATTTGGAGGGTAGTTTGCATTTTGGAAGAAGCTGCCTGCTTCCGAGCCTGAGGTGTCAGAAGGGAGAATTAAATGCTGAAGTCCTTACAGCTGTGACTAACAAGAGGCAGGCATGATGAGGGCCTGAGAGCACAGAAGCTGAAATGCTAATCCACTGTGTTCCCTGCATTGAGGGACTGTAACCCAGAGAACCATCCCGCAGCTAAGAGTTAAATTTCAAGAGTCCTATGCAATTAAGAAGGAACAAACAGTTCCTCACGTTTGCTTTCACTTCCCAAGCAAGGCTCGGCCTTTACCCTGCCACAAATCTAAGAGATACCAAGCTGGCTACACAAGGCCAGCATTCAGTTATACTTTCACGTCTTCAGGGTTCATTACAATTGCAGAACCCAGGGCCAGAGCCTTCAGGCAGGGAGACTAGCCCAGAAAAGTACTAGGAAAAGCTCCAGGATTTATGTCCTTTTTTAAAAGCTCTATTTAAATACCAGAATTTGCAATTTGCTTTGAATGGCACCCAGCCCCTCAGAGGGGAACAATAAAACAACACATGCAGACACACACACATGAATTCCAAAACAAGAAGGAAACTTCCATAGGTACAAACTCTGCATACTATAATCAAGGCAAGTTATTCCCACACGAATCCACCTGCAGACAGGCATTTTAAAGCAGAAAGACAAAACAAATCACCCAGGCAGGCCAGAAAAATATTCAGGTATTTAAAGCCTCAAGCACTCAGTGATAAGCATGAGAACAGGTAACAATGCATCAACAGCAGGCACGTGTGCACGTATGTGCACACGCACGCCCTGTCAGCATCCTGGAGTAAAAGAGGCAATCCATGACACCTTCACTCTCACCTTTACTATCCTCTCTGGAACTTACATTACAACCAACTGCCCTTCCAGTCTAAACAGTTGAGCATATATGTCTTTTAAAGGCCTCAGAGAAACAACTTATGTTGCCTACCACAGTTAACCCTGCACATGGAAATTAATATACCCTCCTTTTCTCCCTTTGAGTCTTAAACATCCTCCCTTCCTGCCACTGCTGCTGTTTCTGCTGCAGCCCCACTGGGGGGAAGCTCAAAATCCCGTCCAAAAGAAAGAGAGACAGCAAGCTGCTCAACCCCTAACGTTAAGACATCTGCTGGTGAAAATGCAGTTTTAGAGGCCTGTATGGACAGGGAGGGGGTTTGGGGCTATTTGGTTAGCACAGATTAAATCCGAATCAGGTCTCTGAGTTAAGGCCAAGTGATCTCCCCCTCCCCCAGTCAGTCATAAGTTTCCCCAAAAGTCCAATTTCAGGGGAGTTGAAACTATTCACTAAATCAAGTCAAATTCAGTTAATAGATTTAACCAAACAGAATGGGTAAAAATATCCAAAAAGGTAAAATTGTTTCATTTCAACATTCTCAACATGCCTTGACTTTCCAACCTGGCATTTTCATTTCATTTTTTTTTAAGTTAATAAAAGAGTTAAACCACCCTTACAATGAAACTAAACATTTTGGATCCACTAAAATTAATACTGGGGTTCTTTTGTTAAGCCCTGCATGAGCCAGAGACTGGCTTATGGTAAGTTTACTGGAATTACTACTTTCTTTGCTTGCATATTAACAGACCGGTAGTCAGTAGTGCCAACAGAGTCCTAGCACTGATTCTTCCCGTTCAGGCTGTGCTGTTATTACCTTTACTGAAAAGGGGAAGATTTCAATGTCAATCTGGCATTTTCCCCAGCAACAAATTCACCCACATGCTCATAAAGTAGAAAAGCTGCTGTCAGAACAATGTGGTGAAGAAGTTAATGATGTAACAGAAAAGAAGCACTGGGAAATGGGGGAAAAAAGACTTTATGAAGGAGCTAACATCTTCTCCCACTTCATTAAAAATAAATAGTTCGACTTTGCTTCCTTTGTCACTTCCAATAGAATCACTATACATTGCTGACAGGGAAAATGTCATTCTATAATAATGGGTTTGCATTGTTTTGAATGTAAAATGCTAAGTGAGTATTAGGAACATCATCAAAACTGGAAAACCACATCACTATGCTCCTATTTAATTAAATTAGGATTGTTCTTTATAAGACAGTGCTTGCAAGTGAGGAATGTTCATATCTGGAGGGCAGATGGCACAGGTGCCAACTTTTATTTTTTCCAGGGGTGCCCAAGATGATGGACATGTGGAAAGTTTTACACATTTCAGATGACAGCCCTCTTCCAAAGGGCAGCCAGGGCCCTCAGGCCCCAATGTATTCAGTGCCTCTGGTAGAAGGTCTTGTTGGGGTTGGACCTGGACATGGGCTAGACAGTTTTCATTGGGAGAAAAAAAAATTACAGTCACAGAGAAAATCTTCAAAACATGCATAATTGATACCGTGTTCCTGACTGTGATGTGCCTGAAACAATATTTCTGGTGTATAAATTACCCCTTTCATTTCCGTGGGTGGTATGTCAGATGCTGATAAGCCTCTAAATGTCAACACTATTGAAGAGACAAAGACCTTTACTGGGCCAACTGCAGAGTAGGAGCATAAGTAAGCCGTTCCTGTTTAAGTTGATTCCTTTTGGAGTAGGTTAGGTAGAAAAGATGGTTTCTTAGTTTTTCTGACATTCTTCTGATGCTTGTGTTGCATATTTGGAGTTGCATGTATTAGACTCTAGAGTCTAGCTGCCAGAGGGTAGCAGATGATGAGTTCCTAGGTGATGTTATGTTTATTGCACAGACTTAGGAAGAAGTTATTTTGGGGTTGTCTAGCTTCTTTTTTCATTAGGTTGTGGATTTTCTATTGTAAGTGGCAGATTTCAATATCCTCCATGCGTTGGAGTGACACTGCAACTGTGATGATCTAGGAAACATTACTAAATCTTTTCCTGCTCATCACAGGATGGAGGAAAAAGAGAAGTATCAGACAGCTGGAAACTTCCTTTCCCATGAGGCCAAATTCTGAAGTTCTTACTTAGTGGGCATGTACATCAGATGTTTACTGTGGAGTTGCCTAATTAGCTCTGCAATAAAGTCTCAGAGTCTGCACATGTAGCCCTATTAGGGCCACAGTAAACTAATAAAAAAAGTATGTTAGTACTTGCCAACTCAAGTTATTTAGTATGCTGCAATGCACTTATACATACTGATGGCGTTAGCTGGGGCATGAGGGTGCTTCAGTGCAGGGGCTACCTCCTGGCTAGGAATTTTTTTTAGTTTCTGCCTACATTCTTATTCAGCATCATTCATGTTTTCATCACAAAGCTGAATACTGAAAAAAAAAAGAACAAATATGTTCTGGCTTTCAGCAGCCAACAACCAAAATCTTTCACTTTAAAAAAAAAAAAAAAGAAAAGATTTTCTGCTTTTTTTTCCCCAGCAAGCATCCTAATATTGTTAACAAAACAGATTTTTCACCAAAAATATTGCTTGTAGCAAAAAGGTTTATTCGGTCAAAAAATATTTGAAGATAAAATGTTGAACCAGCTCTAATTAAAGTGCTTATGGTGTAAATATATACCATTATATACCTTTATTTGACAGCCAACATAATGTATACAGGAAACCTTCGCTATTTGTGGATTTGGCATTCGCCGTTTCAAATATTCATGAATGCTGAACCCGCAAAACTTCACTTCAAATATGCTAAGACTGAGTACGGTAGTCTGTTAGTCCCCTTAAGGCCAGGTAGACAAAACCACATGTCCTCTACCTACTCCCCCTGTCAGATACGGGAAACAAAAAGGATCAGATGACAAGAAAAAAGGATTTAGATTAAGGCCTGTGGCCAGTGACTCCCAGGCTTTCCCAGATCGACCTAGACCTTCACCCTGGATTTGTTGCTGCTTTCTTTCCAATGCATGGAGACAGAAGACGCAGGCATCACCAGCCCACTGACACTGGGATTCAGGGCCACAGCCTCAAAGATCCCGGAGAGCCTCTGCATGTGCCAGGCCTCTGATGCCCCTTGTCAGGGTTGCAGCCTCAGAGAGCAGTAGGTCTTAGATGAGGTCTGTTGGCAGAACGCAACACATAGAATATAGCTAGGGCTTTATAATGCTGCCACCCCCACACTGTGCAGATCAGTCTTGCGTGCCATACAGCAGTGTAATTCCTGTCCAGACTCATTGGTAAAGCATCTGTATGGTCCCCCTTCTAGTACCAATTATGTCAGGCCATGGCAGTCTTGCAGGGTGGACTTAAGCACCACCTAGACATGAGACTACCTGTACCCTGCCATGGAGAAGCTAGGGTTTTCCTTTGGTGTTGGTGGGCTTTCAGTCATACCTCTTGGCAGGGGGGAAGGGGGAATTGGGTCGTGACCTCCTGAGGCCCTTCAAAGCAACTCAGACTGCCCCAGTTCTCCCTTCTGCTACCTGCTTTCCAGCCACAATGCTGAAGTAGCAGGCAATTGACAGCCTGATTTCCCCTTCTACTCCCATCCTCTCACCCTGCAGCTTGCCAGTTAGGTGTGGAAGATGGCTCAGTCCTAGAGATTATTGACAATGTGTATTGGTCAAGTGTATTACCCTTTGTCTTCCCCAGCGCTGTGGAAGGGGTCTCTAGCCGGGGTGTGTACATACAGTCAGCCTGGATATATACACGCTGCCTGAGGAACTCTGCAGGGAATCCAGTGGTCGGCACCAGGCTCTTTTTCCTCGTGGACCAGGAGGCAGATGTGGAGGCAAGCTGATGCTACGCAGTATCCTGTCCTTCTGCAAAGGACACAGGTAGAAAGAAAAAGCAAAACATTATGAGTAGTCATGGGCTGGAGTCTAGCAGAGTGGTTACCCAAAAGAGCACTAGCACTCTCTCAACATTAACTCTGGTCTTGGGAACATCAGGAGACTCTCCTCTTCAAAAGATTTCAATCTCTTGGACCAGGGCTAGATTCTGGGGAGACTGTGACCTAATGGATATGGGCCTGAGACTCAAGAGGTCCACATTCTGCTTCTGCCTCTGCCACTGTTTTCCTGGATGATCGTGGGCAAGTCACTTCCTGTGCCTCTGTTTCTCCATCTATAAAAAGGGACATAATTATATTGACCTGCTTTGTAAAGTGCTTTGAGATCTGCACAGTACAAAGTCTACATGCTGCACTAAATGCTACCTTAGAGTAGGGTGGTGCTATTCTGATATTTATTTGACTTCCACACAATGTATCAACTTAGATTATGTTTTTACCTTCATAAAGAAAGGAATTTGCTGCTATCTGATAAAGACTCCACTATTTAATTCATTAATAAGCCAAATCCAAACTTGGTGCAGCTGCATAGACCTCAAAAGGACTAAGCTAAGGATCAAGCCCATTGGAATGAAACATGCTCTCTGTAAGTGCAGCGTGAGATTAGTTCAGTTACTACGATTTGTTTGTACTGGTTTATGGTATGGACAAGTTCCCAGCTGTGGTTTCAATAGCTGAGCAGGGTAGCACCCAAGTCACTGAGGCGACAGAACTAATAGTAAGAGATGAGAGGCAGCCAGCTACAGAGGACTTCATCCTGGATGCCCCCCAGGGTGAACAGGCTGCAAAGGTGTCTTTGCAACCTATCCCTGGATGGGACAGACAGGGAAAGAAAGAAGACAGTTTGTACCCAGCCCAGTTGCTGGCTTTGTCCACAAGTTCACATACAGCACAATATGTTAGGGAAGGAAGTTAGCAGGGGCCAAATTGCACTGTGCTCCCCACAGTCATGGCACTAGGGACCACAAAAACATGCCTGGGTTGAAAGGCTGACAACAGCCTCCCAAATGTCAGAGTGGCTGAGATCATCAGCCATCAAAACAGCCTGGAGCAGCAAGTGGCCAAAGGACCCCCAGAGAGCCTGTCCCCACTTCTCGGCATCCCAGGCTGAGCACCGCGCTGTACCTGGAACTGAAGGGCTGCCTGCTGCGTCTAGATGCGCAAAGGTGCTTTCAGGATTATCTTCAGCCTGCACAGTTCAGAGGCAATAACCAGCGTCTGAATGCACTGCCTACCTGAGAGCTGGCTTGAGCTCTTTATGCCCCTTTGCATCAGGTAGGGCTGCGAGGCAGACATAGACCCATGCTCCCAGAAACCCACCCAGTGCAGACCCAGCTACTTTCACAGACCCCCTCAGTGCAAGGGAAATTCAACTTCAGTGGGAATTATCTCCATTTACACCAGGAATGACTTTGGCCCTTGAACTCCCATTACTCAGCCAAGCATCAGGAAGGTTCACATGGCAATGAAGTGTTAAACCAACAGGGACAAGCTATAAAATCATCCCTGCACGTCTAATCAGTCTTGCTGAGAAACAGGGTTGTTTGTACCAGGTCTGCAGTGGTGGGAACCCAGGGGGAAAGGGAATAAGCTATACCTTCTTCCCTCTTTGATAGTGGCTTAATAAGCAGAAGAGTAACTAGGGTCTTTAATTGTTAAACAATTCTTGTCATGAAATATTGAAAGCTGACTTCTTCTGATGTTAAGGCAGCAGCAAGCTCAGATGAAAACTGCTGTATGGCTTATGACCAAGGACTCCCAGTGTGTCAGGGTTACAGGGTTATGGCTACTACTAGCACTCAACACCTTATACAGTGGCACATGACTCCTACTAAAAGGACTGCACTCATGTCTCTGACAGCACAATCTATAACAGATTTTAAGGCCCTTGCCTTGCCCTCATTAGCAAAAGAACTGCATGTTATCAGAGACCCCTGGGGACTGTGTGCATGTCAGTGAGCTACAAACCCTGCATGCATGCCAGTGGTTGTTCAGCTCAACAAACAAGTCTTTGATCACTTCTTATTTAGTCATAACATGGGGTAAGTATTTTACCAAATCCCAATTAAGTGCCAGTTGAACCTGAATGACTTTACTGCTCCTTCTTTGAGCCCATTTCCTCTTTATGTGGTATAAAATTGAGACGCCTGCTGGAATGATTAGCTCTGCCCATCAGGTACATGAGGCAGCTGTGAGGAGGTTAACTTGTTAAGCATTGACACCTAGAGGTTCCTCTACCCTGGAAAAGGATGTTGAGAAAGATGCACTGGTCCGATTATCCTGGTGTATGTCCCTAGTGGAGAGGTAGCTTATAATCACAAAATTGTCTTAAACCATTCCTCTGATGAAAGTAACTTATCTGGCAGAGACATTCTTGCTGGCAGAACTACATTGACATGGGCTTCTCTGGGCACAGCTGTGTTCATCAGGGGCTAACACCTGTGATTCTTTTTTTCCCTGAATAGATGTAGCTCTGCCAGCAGCACTTGTAAGTAGAGACCAGCCTCCCCCCACCTCAAGTTGCTAACAGTTTTATGCCACATTTTTTAACCCCTCCCATGCCACATATCCCCTGCTCACAGGTGACAGGCTGTATCAGATCTCTGTAGCCAGGCAATACATGCTGTAGTCTGACTGGCATTTGGCCACAGTCTACTGACTGTTCAGATGCCTGTAGTCCTGTGGGAGGCTATATAAAACAGATTACAGCCTTTAGAAACTGGCCATGCTAGGAAACATTTTCTTTTTGCCTTTAAGGGGGAAAGCTGCCTATTTTTCCAAACTCAGTATGCAAAGGAACATTATTAGGTTGAAAATGGGTGTGGGATGTCTGCTGTGGAAAGGGTCAGCTACACCCAGATCTCACCTGCACCTGGAGAGCCTTTGCTTACCTTCTGCACCCATCATTTCCCCAGAGCAAGACATTTTGTAGGACACAGCCCATCCCCTGCACATGCCCCACGTGCCTTCAAAACATTGTGCATGCTCCTTAATAGGCTGTTTCAGAGAAAAGTGACATGCTGTTGTCATCCATTCATATAACAATAGCCATCACCATCAGAAACGGACTGTACAGCCTCAAATAATTGAAATCTGCAGGTCCAACCAAGAATAAAATACTCATTTCCTTAAAGAGTACATAAGAAATTACCTTCAGCTAGTGGTGAAAGGTGACCTTAATACCCTGCTGGAACGTACTCTGATCCTATGTGATAAGAGCTTGTTTGGAGGTAATTCTTTTTCTTTCTTTTAAACATTTGTGTTTGAGCTTTTTATTGATTATTTTTTTGCTTTCTTCTGTGCACTCAAGAAAGACTACAAGAAAGCCATCAGCTGTATCATGTTAGGTGTCCTTTACTTGCTGAATAACTCTTTGGAGGGGAGGGAAGGGGGTCTCACATGAATAGAGGGAGGTTCCTTACATGTTAATTAAGAGTAACTGGCCTTGGAGATAGTGCATTGAAACAGGACACACATTTCCTGAGTTCCATTCCTGGCCTGCTGCTGGCTGACCCTGGACAAGTCTTGCCTGTTCCTCAGTATCCTCAACTATTATCATTACTGGGCTTAAAGATCCTGACCTCCTCTGGAAACAGATCAAGATCTACAAGGGAAAAGCACCATATTAAGAACATGGCATTTTAATTGTGTTAAACAAGGACTTTCTTTTTTCCCCCAACTGTTTAGTACATGTTGGCTGAGTCCTGACGAAAGCAGACAAAGAGCAGTTGTAATTTTCCTTTTTGTCAATGGAATTGCAGGATCGATAAGGTCTGAAGTGTTAATATAAGACATTTTTAAAAAGAGAGGAAGAGGGTTTTATTTCCTACGCTCGCCCTTAAAACCTCCAACTTTCTGGTCTTTGTTATTCAGCATATACATGTGGAAAATAAGAGCAACAAGCTCTGCATTTTTTCCGCAACCTGGGTCACCTCTGAGTAATCTATAACTCAAAACATACCAGTTAAGTCAAAATAACAGAGGCGAGGATATGGAACAGATTTTTCAGAATCACTCAGAGCCAGATTGCTAAGTGCTTAACATGCAGAGTAGACAACATATTTCTTCAGGTGCTCAATAGCCAGGGGCATATATTGTTACACTTCACAACCAAATTTTCCAAAGACTTGTGCACCCAACCTGCTGGACTCCTAGAAGTCTGCCCCACCCCCACCCCCAGGTGGGTGCTGAGTTCCTTGGAAAATCCCAGGTTTCAGACCCACTATCTTCTTTTCTCATACACAGAGGCCATGTTCACCTCCCCTCATTGCACTGGTCCCAACTCCTCTGGCAAAAGAGAAGATGTAAGTCTGCCTCTAATTCTAAAAGCTAGGGGGGTGCATAGTTTGTCCACCTTCCCAGATGCATTATTTTGGTGCAGTTGCATTAGTTTGGTGCAGTTGCTCTGGATCTATATCAGTCAGTCCTGGTTCACTTGAGTCTATAAGGTTCATCAGAGTAATAGCAGTGGAGCGCACCAGCTTCCACTGCCCAGAGCAGAGAAGGGAGGGATGTGGCTAGCATCTTCAGGTATGCAACTGCAGCTGGGTCAAGTAGGGAGGCAGCCTTCAGCACAAGCCTGGAGCAAGGCTCAAAATCGTACGTCAGCAAGACACCTTAGCAATTATCTAGCCATCTTCCTCTAGGCTGAGGGATAATTAACTGTATAGTTATAGGGCAATATAAGGACCAGCACTGGGCTGGCCAGTTCTGGTAGGGCTTAGCCACATTTAAGAGGTTGCCACAAGTCATTATCCGATGTGCAGAGGCAGCCCCCTTTGGGGTTAAAAAGCATTCTAACTACGTGCTGTCCTGCTCTTCCCTCCTGAGATACTAGTAGACTACCCATCAGCCATATTAAAAACACTGGTCCCATAGTCCCCACAAGTCTGATGTTGAACTTACTTGTCACACCACTATTAGAATAAGGCTGCCCATGCCCAGTCCTGTTAACATGGGGGGCTACCCAAGGATGATGGGTGTTGAACCCTGGTGAGCTGCAAGCACCATCAGAGCAACCAGTTCAAGACCAGCTCCAGAGCTGCTGAAGGGGGACAAACATTAAATGCCAGCTGAAAATCCTCATGCAGACACAACATGAATCGTTATGGCTTCAGGATTTTTTCTCAACTTTAGTTGATTGGGATTGACTTGGGGCTTCAGCTTTGTACCTAACAGTCTCTGCCCTTTCTGTTTTTAATAGGAAACTGCATGTATAATATAAAATGCTTATGTCTGCTCTTTATTAAAATAGATACCTGAAAAATCAGTTCTGAGGGATGAACAATTAATAAAGATGACACCTGGATACATTAAGAGCATCCTATATTCTGAGCACACGTGAATCCCTGGCTGAAACCTTCTAGGTTGTGGGTACAAGACAGATACGTACGTAGAGAGATAGCATTCTCTCAAGCTGAAACAAAATCTCTCATCCCCCTGAATATGATCAGGGGACCCAAAGCAGCTTTTCCCTCCTGTGTTTACTGCCAGCCAGAGTCTGATCCATGGAGTGCGATCATTTGTGAGAGAGGAACACCTACGGGTCCTGAAATCAACTTCTCCTGCTTGTCAGTACCGTTCCCTCTCAGACCTCCGTGCCCAAACAACAGCCGTACCAAGAGTCAATCCCGCTCCATACCCTGCATGGGACTGTCTGTGGTCAAGGCTTTTGCTTGCTCTAAACTAACGCCTTGCATACTCCAAAGTGAGGGAAAGTCAAATAACAGATGAGAAGGCAAATCAAAGCTTTACCTGGAGAGAGCGGAGGAAGTCAAACAGGCAGAGCTGGGACACTGGGAGCTGGAGAAGGCAGAGCTAGCTAACTAGCAGGAGTTGCACAAGGGTGGTATTCACCTCTCTCTCTCTCTCTCTCTCTCTCTCTCGTTGTTTTTGTTTGGGTGAATTAGCCTGAAGGTCAAAGGAATATTCTTAAGGAGTGGCTTATGCCGGGAAGTAAATTATTACCCTGCCATTGCTCTCAACTATGGGGACCCAGGGCAAATGTGGGGCTAAGTGGAGGGAGGGCAAATGTCCTCCAGCAGGATTAGAGGGCAGCTCACCATGGAGAGAAGTAGAAAGGGTTAGAACAAAGTGCTCTCTTTTCTGGAAGCAAGTCACATGCTGGGTCCTAGCTGAGGTAATTAGGCATGTGTCACCTGCTAAATGCCACAAGATGCTGGAAACTGTTCGAGGCCCTGAACTGGGACACAATTGACCTGCTAGCATCCGGAGCATGGGAACTGGGTAATATGAGTGGCAGTTCTCCCAGCAAATCCTGTTTTCCTTCAGGGTTCCCCAATAGTATTGTAATGTGTAGCCTGTTACTAACTGCTGCAGCCTTGTATGTAAGAAATGCTGAGAAGTGGTACATGGACATCTAAGACCCTCAGAGCAGTGTCTCTAGGAAAGGGCCTCCTTAGTTCTCACGTGACAAGCAGGCTTAGGCATGGTCTGCAGGTAGAATGGAGATCCATGAACAAGTAGACACTCAGGTTTTGCTCGCGTGACACAGCCTTACAGCTGTACTTTTGCCCAGCAAAGAACTAGGTTCCAACTGAACTGAGCGGGATGTGTTAAAAACCAGTGAGCATCTACTTGAATGGCAGCACGAGCCAGTGGGCAAGCTTCTGGACAGTGAGGAGATGTGAGTTGTATTCCAGTCTCTTCCACCAATTTGCTATGTGATCTTGGACAAGTTTCTCTTTCAACCCTATTTACAGTAACTCTGCTTAACTTCTTATGAAGAAAGCATCTGCTTGCTTTGTGCAACTCTCCCAAGTGTGTACTTCATTACCAAAGCTGTATTTTGTAACCAATGGGGATCTAGTGAGTGAAATTTTCTCCTTGTTCCCTCCCCCCATTTCCTTGTTTTAGCAGAAGCAGGAAGAAGCTGTTTCTGGCAGTTTCGAGGAGCCAAGAATAACTGCCCTGAAGAAGTGGAAAGTTTTTACAACAAAAAATGTGAACAGGCTCCATCACAACTTGCACACTGACATGTGACTTAACAAAGAGAGCAAGTGGACAACTGATGGGAGTAGCCTCAGTTACTAAAAGAGTAGTCACAAGAACCACCAAAGAATGAATGTTCAGTGAGATTTCCCCTGGAATGAAGACAGATCCTACTGGACACAAAAAGCCCTTCTACCTCCAAGCAGCAGGGTAGTTGAATCCAGTGCCCAGCAGCATTAGAAGTACAACGCCCGGGCATGGTGCATACAGCATGGAGAAAATGCACTGGAATAAGGTATGTGCTTAGGTTTGCAGAGAGAAAAGCCTATGATCCGAACCCCAGGCCCACGTGCTCCCTGCTATGAAGAAGTTTGGATCCAAGCCTGAACTTTCCACCTAGCCTTGTATAATAGGATAAATGAAAATGCTGGAACCAAATCTTAACCTCTGGGGTAGGCAGACTTCACAGCTTGGGCTCAAGAAGGAAATAAGGATTTTATCTTTGTTATGCAGATCTTGTGTTCCCCACCGCCACAGAGCAGGCGTTCCAGTCTGGTGAGAACGTCAGCTGCCTGGGACTTGGACTGGCTGAATCAGTGACTACCTGTGCCCTGAAGGGCCTGTTCGACCTTGCACAGATATCTCTCCCAGCTGCTTCGAACACAGCAGCAGAGGCTGGTATTAGAAGTAGATCTTATCATATCTGGCAGCTCAGTATTTGTCTACAAGTCTTTCACACCCCACACCCGGGTGGTAAGCAGCTGGTAAGAATCAGGGTATCGTGCTTTTGGGTGAACAGAATTTTCAACAGTGTCCTGTTGAGGCCCATACACGTACACCAGAAACATCCTCTCTCCTCCTCACTGAGCTGCTGAGGCACCACAACTCTCCTCCAAACAGGAGATGCTTCCAGTAGGACAAGGAGGCTGGAAAGGCCCAAGATCAAAGGGCCGCAAAGTCCCAGGTTGCAGCAGAGTGGATAGGAGGAAAGGCAAGGTTGAGAGCAAGGTTTCTGAAGAGTGCTGGACTTTGCAGCCTCTCTAGGCTAGTCTCTCTTATCTGAGGCCTGTTTATAGTTCAGCCAGCTGCAGCATTATGGCAACTGTGTGATGTCCGAGCCCATCTAGCTGAGTCCCAGGCCACAAAGCTGAAGTGAGGCAGGGATGGCTGAATATCAAGGAGCTGTAGGTTTTTTTCTTCCTCTGAATCTAAGGAGCCATGGCTGCTGGAGACACAGGGGAAGAAAGCCAGATGGGGAAATCTCCCTTCAACTCTGCTTTTGCTCCTCTCCCTCTCTTGCCGGGGTACCATCTCCCAGGCTACTCTTGGCTTGGAGCACCCTCTTTGCCACTGCACAGGAATCAGCTGCTCACTTTTCAGCCACATGCCAAGTTAATGGGGCTAGGGAAACCCATGCTGAAGGTGTAGAAGGGTAAACGCCCTTTAAGATAGTGAAACCAGTTCACTTCTAGCTCCACACCCTTAGGGTGCAAGCTAGGGACTGTCAGCTCAGGCTGAGCAGCCCAAGAGATAGGTGTTCCCAGGTTGGGGGTGTGGCCCAGGCAGCTACCAGTGACAGCTAAGCAGATTGCCAGGGGACTAGAGGCTGCCACGAGACTGGCAGGAGCCAGAGGCAGAAGGGAAGAAGTGCAGGGACTGAGAATGATTTCCAGAGCACTGAGGCAGGAAGGGATACAGAGAATTGGGTTGAATGCTGAGAGGGCTATCGCCTGTTGAGCTACCCTCGCAGATGTTAAGGCCCTGGACCCTACTTCAGCCCCATCCAAAATAAGAGGAATTGTGATGCTGCTCCCACCAACAGAACATGAGATTTACTGTACTGCAACAAGGAGCAAGCACTAAGAGATGGACAGGTTTCACGAAGACATTTATCAGCCACCTCCTTGCAACCCATATCTGTACATCCCTAGAATGGGAACCTGCCACAGCAGGTAACATTGAAGTCTCTGCACCAAGCGGAGCCTCATTCTGCTCTATGACAGCAACGTAATGCCAGTCATTTCAGTGGTAGAGACCAACCTCTGATCCTGAACTTCATCTACCGCTCTCCTTTGGTGCTATGTACTCAACTACACTCAGGATAATTTTAATTAGTACCTGGTATGGTGTCTTCTTCTGTGTCTTATACAGCAACTTACACAGCAAATGGCAATGGAGACCCAGTGGACAAATTACTATCCTTGGAGTCAGAAAACCTGGTGTGCATTCCTTTGCCTCACTATCCTTATATGCAAAATGAATTAATACTTACATTTCTTTGCAGGGCACTTGGAGAGGTCTGCTTGAAGGACAGCAGCTTAATGACCAGACACCAGCATTTTATAATTCCATTGTTCACATTTATTTATTATTTTAAAACACTGACAAAACCACATCACATCTGGAGTTGTTTTTTTTTTTAAAACCTCTGTATACTCAGGACACAAAGTTCCAGAATAGCTGCACTGCCTACGACGATCGTATCTTCGTCATGAAAACACAAAAAGAGGTGCAAATATTAAAAAACCCCCAAAAATAGAAACTTAAATGAGTGCAAAATGAATGAAAGTGCAAAAAAGTTTTGTTTTCATCAACACACTCCTTCCAAAAACCAATCCTCCTTCCCCCCACCCCCTCCCACTCCCCCTGAAACAGCAGCAAACTCCGAGCCCCAAAATAAAAGACACAAGGGCAGGATCAGGCACAGCTGAGCTGCAGCCTTCAACTAATTCCCTTTCCTTAGCACTGACAGATAAACCATCAGACCAAGAGACTGGGAAGTGAGGAGGAAGAGAAGAAAAGCCAGCCAAGGTGCAGCTTTAAAAGGCTCCCTCTTTTTGATTTCCTCCATTGCACTCATGCCCAAAGATTCTCCTTGGCAGGTGGAGGCTCTTCCAACCTCCTAGACAATTTGGATTTCCTTTCTTTTAAAAAAGTGCTTGCAATTGGTGCAGAAATCACTTGGCTCTCAACCAAAGTGCAGCAAGAGAGAGAGGACAACCCTGTACATTCCCCTGTGAGTCCCCAAGCTAGCTATTCACCACACTTTTACCAAAAGGCTGTCCCATCGTCTCTCCCCAGCAGACACAGTTTCATCACTCACACAAACCCACCATCTTCATTAATGGAGATGCCTCTGCTTTTGAGGATACATCTGTATATAAAGGGCTACCATGATCCAATCCCTACTGAAGGGAATGGAAAAACTTCAGCAGGCTTTGCATCAGGCTGTACGTGCAATGATGTGCCTGCTGCTGTCTCCAGGTAGGCAGAGGGAAAAGCCAAAGGCTCCGCAATAGGCAGGCTCTTACTGAAGAGAGCACTAGGCCTTCCTGCTTTTGCCTCCCATGGAACGAAGGGGAGACATCTACTGCTCCCTGTGCCATTCCCTGATGATGAGGGGAGAGAATATGTGGAAGAATGGAGATGTGGGAAGCAGACAAAGAGAAGAGATGGAGAATCTTATAAGCTGGCTCTCCTGACTGAATTTACCCAGCAGACAGTCTGGACCAGCAACTAAGAAATGTAGCTCATCTCTCACCTGGGAGCTCCAGGAATGAGTCATTTACTGGACTTTTTTGTACCTGGTGAAAGAATAAAAACACTGGGGGCTATGCAGTCCAACAGCCTTCCAGGCCTGGCCACTGGGATGCATGGGGATTCAGGAGCCCCCTGCCATGCTGGCCAAGCTGGCGCACACTACAGCAGCCCTATTGAGGCAGCAGAACATGTCACAACTAGTCAGCTGGCACCAGCACCCAATTATACCCTAGCTCAGGGCTTCAACATAGAAGGGGAAGTTGCTGTAGTCACTGGGGTGAATGACTGGCTAATTGTCTCACTTTCCCCAGAAGGCCCCCAAGCCCCCACTGCCACTAAGATCCCAAGTCCTACAAACACCTCTCAGCTTCTTCCAGGATGGGCAGAAATAAGCAGGGGAGAGCAGTGAGGGGCTTACATTCGAAAGCACTTTGGGCTTAAAATCTTTAAACAAGTGAGACATTTTAGCATCCTGCAAAAGGAGCCCTCCTGAATATAAGGCCAAACTAATTCCTGGTGCAGTGCTGTTAACTTTTTGGAATTATACCCATACCTATGGTGTTCCACCAAGGATGAGTTTCCACGTTAAGGACTGAGAATTTAATTAGGTGCTTTTGCTCGTAGAGAGAAAATGCTACAGTTCCATGGGAAGCCTACTATGAATTTCACCCCAACATGACAGTGGATTTTGGAGGTCATGTTATCATAAGACATGTTGCTGGTGTATGTGGTACGAGCTGTCATCCCTGTCCTGTGATTGGGGGCAGGAGAATGGGAAAGATTGATTCCCTTGAAGTGCCAACCTTGGGAATGCAAATGTTCCTAATGAGACAGCATGTTGATTTGGGACTGGGGCTGTGCTACTGACTCAAGCCCCTTCAGACTGGTCTCCAAGGTAGAGTTTACAAGGCTGGTGTGTAAAGGCAATTGGCTGCTCAGCCTCATGTTCCCCATGCTAATCTTTTCTTAGCCAATCACAAGAGACAGGAACATCAATGATTCAAAAACGTGTTTTGCAAATGTTGCCACAAGGAGTGTGTGTCACAGAGCTTTGAGGACAATTTGACCCACCTGGAATCTATTCTCATGTGTGGTCCTCAGTGCTCCTTGAGCTGGTGGGGTTGGGGGAGGAGGGTCTCATTGGTTCAGACAGGAGGAGCTCTTGGCACCACTGGCACTGATGCACTGCAGGGAGGGAAGAACTTATGGGGAGGACTTCACGATACTGAATATTATACCTGTTCTCATTCTTCCCCTGCTGAACGGTGGCATGAGGGAGGGCTCTCCTGCTCACCCATCTGATCGCTGCCCTATGGCCAGTTACCTTAGGAACAATACCCCAAAAAAATGATGTTGGGCACACTATGGATGGAGGAGATGATGTTGCTATCTCACACGCATGCACGCACACGCACGCACGCACGCACACACACACACACACACACACACACACAGAGGTGTGCACATTTTTGCACACATGCCCACAATGCTTTGGGTTTAGTTTGCTTGTTTTTTTTAAAGGAAAAGATAAGGTTACAAAGCTTTAACAGTAAATAGCCCTTGACCATCTACAGAACCTCTAATTCTCTCATCCAAACCAATTTAAAAGCTTCAGACCTTAAAGAACAGGAAAGAATTAGCCCAAGAGTTGAATGAACTCATGCCTGAGATAGCGAGTGGGAGATGAGAATGCTGTCATTAACACAAACACACACGCACACGACATCTCACTTCACATTTCCAGTGAGGCTCATCCTCCTGGCAAGCTTTCCCTTCTGGGAATTTCAGACCTAACAGTCCACCTGGAGGACCAAGACTGCACCCAGACTCCATGACTGGTGGGTGCACAGTTTGGTTCGTGTCCAGTATTATGCTGCAGTGAGGGGAGGGCACCACTCAAGGAAAACAGCACCCCATCACAGCCTGGGCAAGGTTTACGGCCAGAGCCCATAGGTGGCCGAATCCAGCAGTCTTAGCAGAGAGCATACCCACCAAGAAACGGTTTCACATGAGCCCAGGAATCCAGCTGCAAGGTGGATACGGTATCAGAGAACAGCTTGCTCAGCATCTCAGCACCAGAATAGCAGGCTTAATCCTGCTGCTTACATAGATGCACGTGTGGTGTTTCTAGCTCCTGGTCTCCTCAGTCTGGGCTCTAATTACACCCCAGCATCTCCCCTTCCTGGAATAGCCCCACAAGGAACCAGCCGTCCTATCCTTTGTTCTAGTTTCAAATGCAGAGCCTAAGTCAGACAGCTGACACTCCACTGCCATGTCCAGAGCACCTCTCTGGCATCCTCCCAGCACAACAAGGACTGGTTCTCCTTTCACAGGAAAAGGAATGTATTCACAAGGCAGGCTGAGGTGGAACTGATGAAAACAGGAGTCTCTTCCTGTCGTTCTCCTATAAACCCAGTGACTGAGTCCTGTGCAGGAATACAAAGAGCTGACCAGAAGACTCACAGTTATGAAGGATCATATTTGGAAATATCAAAAAGTAGTTCACAAGGAAAGTCCCACAGCTGAAAGGGCCAAGCAAGTATCCCACGGCCTCTCTTTTCCTTCCTTTCCTCCTATACAACAGCAGGCCAGGAGGCAGGCTCCTCTTTGGCTAAGGAGATTAATTTGGCACCATTCGCTGCAGATCAGATTGCATGCATGGAAGGATGGGTCCGGAGTCCAAATCTTCTCTCCTTCCATCTTGCTCCTCCCCACAAATGAATTCACTGCAGTGTTTGGACTAATGAAAATTAAAGGGCAGGGGAGCACAACCACTAAACCAGACCCAACCTCTTACAAAGAAAACCCAGAAATTGTTTTAAATCTCTCATGAATAACAAGTAGCAAACATTCCAATGGCAGGTCAAATGTGACCCTTAACAGTCAATAATAGAGAGAAAATGCTACATTTCCATGGGAAGCCTACCATGAATTTCACCCCAACATGACAGCGGATTTTGGAGGTCATGTTATCATATGACATGTTGCTGGTGTATGTGGTACGAGCTCTCATCCCTGTCCTCAAGTGATCGGGGGCAGGAGAATGGGAAAGATCGACTCCCTTGAAGTGCCAATCTTGGGAATGCAAATGTTCTTAATGAGACAGCATGTTGATCTGGGACTGGGGCTGTGCTACTGACTCAACCCTCTTCAGACTGGTCTCCAAGGAAAATTTTACAAGGCTGGTATGTAACAGCAATTGGCTGCTCAGCCTCATGCTCCCCATGCTAATCTTTTCTTAGCCAATCACAAGAGACAGGAACATCAATGATTCAAAAACGTGTTTTGCAAATGTTGCCGGGGGTGGGGGGGAGGTGTCACATAGCTTTGAGGACAACAATTTGACCCACCTGGAATCTATTTTACTTGGATGGGGAAGGGTCAGGGAAATAAAACGTCACTAGTGAGAGACATACATTTAAAAGTATGTGTGCAACTGGGTGGAAAGAGCTTCTCTGAGAGTCTGCAAAGTATTTTCTTACATAGCACATCATCACTCCCAACCAACGGAGAGGGTATGAATCAGCTGATGTTGTATCCCCAGAGCTGCACTGACCTGGTCAGTACACTTAGCTTTTACTTAAATTATAAGCACTCTGAGGCATAGGTCATCTTCCTGGTTGATGTTTGTACAGCACCTGGTACCTGAGATCTGGCCTGGGACTGGGGAATCCTGGCTGCTACTGAAACATAAACAGTAAATGCTGAAAATAAAACTAACCACAACAGCAAAGAGAAAAGCAGGTTGGGCAGTAATAGTGGGAATATAAGAGGAATTAAGAAGAAAAAGCAAATTGTCATCAGGATGGAGGTGAAACAGAATCAGGGGCAAAGCAAGGTTAGTGTCTAGGTTTGACAGGAGAATCACAAAAAAAACAGGAGAGAAAAAAACCCCAAAATGCAACAGTGAAAAGCTATTTGGGAAGTTTCCTAAAAAATAACACTAATACCTGACCCCATACACCAACACACACTGTTAAAAGGCTTTTCAATTGATAAGAAAAAAAACCACAACTCATCCCTTTCAGTGTGTGTGTGTGTGTGTGTGCGCGCGCGCGTGCGTGTGTGTGCGTGCGTGTGTGCGCGTGCGCACAGCAGCACCTAGGAAGATAGTTGTGTGAAGACTGGGAGTCTGCAGTGACAACTGATTTCTGATCTGCTTGAGCAGCAAAGCTACCCCAGCCCTCCCAACCACACCTTCTCATTAATTCCTCTAAGTACATGCATGTGTGTACAAACTCACACATGCACACACACATACACACACACTCAAAAAAGTCATCCAAAGACCAGGGTCAGTCAGCAGGGTGACGTACGCAGAACAGTAATCCACTCGGAAAGACGCATTCTGTTTTTTACGAGGGTCAGGAGAAAAGAGCTCTGGGTCTGCACTTGGACCCAGCATACAACTGGTGCTCCCCTACAAGGCAGGGAGCAGGATAATGCAGAGAGGAAGATGGAGCGGGATGGATTTACTGCAAGAGAGAAGATGAATCAGAGGGAAAGAGGGAGCAGGATTTTCCAGCCGCTGCAGCTGGGATGGTCTCTGCTCCAGTGGGATGGTTTGGCAGCTCCAGTGCTGAGGGTCCCGGCACTGCTGGGGCACGGTCACTTTAAGGTGTCATCGGCATTTTTGAACATGAGGATGGCGTTGTAAATCTTGAGCGCTGGGCCCAGCTTGACACTCATGATTTTGACAATATCAGCTTGTGTCAGCAGCAAGAACGCTTCCCCGTCGATCATCTACAGGAGAAAGGAAGTGGGGATGGGGTGTGTGTGTGTGGGGGTACGGGGAGGTCCAGCAGGCTCATCATGTTCATGGGAGGCCTATGCTGGGAGCTGCCCATTCCTTAAAGGGAAAACCCCCCGTACCACAGAGCTATGACAGCACCCAGGAGTGTACATTTAAACAAGAAGGAAGTCCTCCCTTCCAGTGGGAGACACAGACATGTGGGCATACCAAGGAAGGTGGCTCTCAGGCTATAAGCCCAAAATACAGCTAGCATACCTCCTTCTCAGTGCATGTGTCTGCCTGCTCCTAGACCTTCTCCCTCTCTAGACTTTGGCTGGTAAACAGCTTGTAAAGTATCTCTCATTGCCCATTTGCAACTCCAGTGTGAAGGCAGGTAAAAAACACAGGCCATTTACTAGACAGCCTTTCAGCACCCTGATCCCCTCCAGTCAGCCTGCCTCTGGCAGCTCTGCTCCAGTGTCAGAGCAGGGCTCTGCAGTGACTGTCTCTAGCAGCTGAAATGTGCTCCGAGGATGGACCAAAGTTCTCCTGATCACTGTGCTGCAAACAGAGCCCAACACCTGGCACTCAGTATGAGCACTGGTGTATAATACCCCAGAACAGAGGTCCAGAAGTGGAGTGCAGGCTCTAAATAGAACTATTGGAAATTGTAGGGAGGAGACTGATGCAGCCTTGAAGTAGCAGCATTAGGCCCAAAACAGCTCCACTTCTACCCTCCCACTAGCTCCTCAGAGCTCCTTGCCCTAAGCCCCATGTCAAGAGACAGAGCCCCCTCTCTTTGCTTATCTCTTCACTATTGGAACAAATCAGCTAGGTGTCTTATGAACCTGAGGGACAGGCATACAGAAATCAACATTCACTCTTAGTGGGTATCTGGCTGCAAGTGGGTGGGAGCTGCTGACCTCAAACCCTGGTCAGATGCTTTCAAGAGTGACTTGACTTACACTGGGATGCGGCCCAGAGGCTGGTGGAAAGGGCAATGTCCCAGCTGCCCATTCCTCCTCCTGCCTCTCACTGTAAAGGGGCTTCCTATGCCACCCTCACCTACCTACTTGTCCCCCTTCTCCTTACCTCATCCTTGAAGAGTTTGGCTTGGTCTTCGCAACCCGTCAGAGTCTGAACAAAGCTGAAGACCTTGGAACACACAAGCAGACAAAGGCACAAAGGTTACCCTACCTGAAACATCTCCCTGGAGCTGCCTTTTCAGGGTCTCAGGCTCCTTTCTTACTGCAAAAGTGTTTTATTGCCAATGGATAAAAGATGTCAGTGGGTCAGTACCTTGTAACACCCTAGTTGACTCAAAGCACTGTAATTTTCAGTGGCAGGGCTAAAGAAGTCACCCACATCCCAGAAATTCAGCATGAATGAGGCTTAGTTACACAGCAGTGAAAACTACCTCTCTCTCCTCTCCAGTATGGTTCTACAACAAGATGGCTAACAGGTGTTACTCCATGATTAACACACACCCTTTTTGGCACTGAAGACAAACCAAACAGAAGCATGCCGTGGAAGACCTCAGAGCTGTGCCATGGCCTGCTCCAGCCAACGTCAGCTGGATTCTGCAATGGCCGAGGGTACAAATGACACACAACCCTTCTTTTTTCTAATACATTTGAGTGCAAATGCTGTGCTGACCATAGAGGGGCAACAACCTCTCTACTGCCTCACAAATATGCCCACCGAATGATGGGATGGGGAACACTTGGCCTTAGATTTCAGAGCAGCATTCAAGGTGAGACAGTGTGGGCAAGAGAACAGCTAGGTGGGTAGGCGTTTGTGGCAGGTGTTACAAGAGGAGCTCAGACAGGGTGGGGAATGAGGAACATTTGGAACTGGACTCACCTCTTTCACTCCTGTCTTAGGTTTACGTTTTGATTTAAATTGTTGTTTACTAGAAAGGAGCTGATACCTTGGGAAATCTGTTGCAAAACAGATAACCACTGGCAAAGCCTTCAATCACCTGGGTCAAGCCTAGAGGGACCTGTTCAAGTCAGGTCAGAAGCCAGTAATTAGTGGGGTTATACTAGAAATGCTGACAGACCCTTTGAGGAGTGCTGAATGGTGCCCCTCGAGGTATGTCCACACAGCAAACAAGGTTGTGCCTGAAGCCTGGACAGGCAGACCTGGGCTAGTGTTCATTTGGCAAGCACAGGAAATAGGAGGAAGGATAACATGGACTTTAGCATGGGTTGACTGCCTAATACCTACCCAGGCTTTCCTTAGGGCTTGTACAGCCCCTGACAAAGTCTGTGATGCAGCATCTTCACCGCTATTGGTACTCACTAGCTATATCAAAGCTAGCTTGAGTGTGCCTACTTACAGTGCAGTCATGCCTTCCACAGAAGCAGAGGCCTGCCTTTGGCCTGTGATGGGTGGGGTGAGCTGTGGGTTTACACATCTAGAATCAGTGAGATAAATGGAGTGCAGAGCACTGGGAGAAACCCCAAAGGCTATGGAACTTGCACAGCTCCCACCCAGGGTAGCTGCACTTTCTCCAAACCCAAAGCATGACACAAAACTCAGCAGCTTTGGGATGAAGCACCACTTTGGACCTCTCTACCTTCCAAAGGACATCACTTACAGTGGATATGAGATGTTGGGGTGAGGAGGGTAGGCCCAGCCCCTTCCCATGATAACAGAAGTTAAGCAACTTGGTCAGAGACAGCATATCCTAAAGTAAAGCTATTCTTGCTAAGTCCTGAGTCCTTCATATTTTTATGAAGGTCACTGGGAATTGAGGGCGCTTGCCATCTTTTGGGAAGATCTCAGCCCATGGCACAATCAAGCTCCAGCATAGGGAGACTCCCTCAGTACTACAGGTGTACCAGGGACTGTGTGTTCTCTAAAGGAAGGATTTGGCACATGTGCTTTGGCATATCAGATCTTTATTTCTTTCAGGATTTTCTTTTTTTTATTAACCCTCCCTAAAAGCACCTTACCTCATCAATGGTCCACTTGGCCACCGTGGCTGCTGTGATGCCAGCTACCCCTGGCAGGAGTTTGCAGTGTTGTTCCCAGCAGAGAGACAGGGAGCGGTCTGGGTGAGCAGACAAGGCCGACATGAAGAGAGACTGGTGCATATTGTCAGCGGAAATAGCTGGCAATGAAATTCAAGGCATCAGGTGAGGTGAGGGGACAACGATATGCAACCTCACACTGCAGGCTCTGCTCTGCCTTGGAGAAGTCTTGAAGAGGGAGAGGGGCTGAGGGCAGACACTGGAGCGGTTCCAGGTATCACATATGTACGGTCTGTTCTGCGCTAACTACTGCTGAATAGACAGCATTCTTCTTGACAGCGCAACCTCAGCTAGGTCCTCCTGTCACAGGTGACAAGATTAAGATTTTTATTTTGATGGTATCCCTCTATAAATGACACAGATTGATGTTACTCCGCAGAAGGAGGAATGCTGTCTATTTACCAATGGCTAGAGCAAACCTAAGTCAGCCATTTAACTAGGTCATATCCCTTTCTTACAACACCAGTAGGTATCGATGGGTCACAAGCACATCTGTAAGGACATCACATCCATTTCCTTATTTGCATTCCAAATAATTAAATTAAGGTCTGATCTGTTTCTCACCACTGATGCTGTTCCTTTACCTTTTGTACTCACATGCAGCAGACTTGGGTTGTGAGGGCAAACTGACCAGTTTTACTGCATCAGTTCCTGGCTTACCTACCCCAATACCTACTGTGTTGAGGGTTTTGGTGCTTTGGGCTGAGGGGCATATTTATAACCAAAGAGACTGGTTCTACTGCAATTTTATATTGCTAATTATTCTGAAAATACTTCTGTTCACATTCTATTTTGCCAGTGCCCAACCAGACCAAAGCACTGTCTCTTCTTTTGTTTAATAATGCCTTTTCTCTGCTCCAGGAGATCTCGCTTGGTAATGATTATCCAGAAGTTAAATTATGTGATCTCATTTCACTAAGTCATAAGTCTAAAATTGCACTCCCAGGCACAGCCACAGTAAAACAACCACTTGCTCTGAAAGCTGCTATTGTCCCCTAGTGGCCAATCAGCAGCTCATTCAACTTGAAGTGATAACGAGCAACGCTTTTGGACTGTGGAAGCATCATTCTATTTACATAGCTCATGGCGATCAGAAACCTCCTTGGATATATAGTCTCTGGGACAAAGTCTGCTGTCTTCATAAGAGACAGGCAGAAAGAGAAGGAATGAAAGATCTAAATCAGGCACTTGCTCAAAGCTTCACACCAACCTGTTACTGTGACTGCCTAGGAGAAGGCACTGCCCTTTGCTCATGCAATGGAGGGGAAGTTATGGCCCCTTTAATTTCCAAGGTCAGACTAGGCAGTCACAGTGGCCATGTCCTCCAAGGCTAAGAATTTATGAAAACCATGCTTGAAAGGTTTGCTGCATTGGTGTGGGAAATCCAGGATTAAAAACATTAAATCCATTCAGGCTCCCCCCAAAGCTAGATCCCTCACTGGTGTGAGTCCATGTAGATATATAGTAGATCCACCAGTTGAGGATCTAGCCTTACATCTTCCTCTCTTGGGTCTTTTAGGTCCAATGCTGGAAGGTCGACTCAAGGCATACCTATAGGCTCAGCACAGGACCCTGCCCTGTCTCTGTGGCTGAGTCAGAGTGAATGCACTGTGTATGCAATGTCTGATAGACTGCCCTGCAGACCAATACCCTCCCTCAGTCATACAGATGGTAACTTCTCCACAAAGCTTTGCCAACATGTTTTGCTCACTCATCCAGCCAGGCAAGTAGGGCTCATTCTTTGGCTGCTCAACCAAGCCTGCCAACTATACTGGACTCCTCTCAGTGATCTCATTTCCCAATAGGAAATGAGCTGAAAGCCACCATTTGTTTTCCACAGGCCACCAAGCATCAGCTTTGGGGATTGCTCCTGATGGGCCAGGTCTGATCTAATGACAATGAAGTAAAAATCCTTCTATTCTCTTCCCAAGCCCTTGAGCTACCATGACACTCCCTCCATTTGTGAGAAGGCCACAGAGTAGGGAAAGATGCCTACTTTGGAAGTCTTCCTGCTGGATCTTCCGATATTTTGGAGGTCGTCCTCTGTAAAGAGACAAAAAAGAGTTTATTTCCAAATGCTCCAGGAGTTGTAGGAACCACCACAGTTCACTGACCACACCTTCTGTCAGCATAAGAGGAAGCAAAGCATCACAGCCTGATAGAGCTGCAACAGCATCCAACTGGGAGCTACAGGCCATCAATTTGATCCACAACACAGATCACAACCACATGAGCCAAATGACCAGCTCCATTTGCTGGGAGGACCATCACTGGTGCACCGTTCATACCCCAGCTGAGTGGGTTTAAGAGCTGTATAAATACAAAAGGTGGGACAATCTTAGCAAAAGAGCTTACCATTAAAATACATGAGACAGACAAACAGAAACAAAAGCCCAGGGAAGGCCCAAAGCCACGCAGCTGAGCCAGGACTAGAACCAACCACAGCAGGTGGCTCGTCTCTGTTGACCAGCCCCAGAAGAAGCCAGAGGAACACTCAGCCAGGGCCTCACAGGCACCACCACATTACCCTACCTCCCATGGTGCCGGGACTTTTTTCTCTGGGAGAAGCCAATCAGGTTCCTTTTGCGGGCAGAGGCCTCAGTGTCGGAGAGCTCAGCCTTCAGTCTGCCCTGGTTCTTCTCTGCCAAGGGGCACCCTGAGAGGCAGTAATGGGCCGTGAACCTCCCTGTCACATGTCCTGAGCCATCGCAACCTGGTGTTGGGCACTTCCTGGAGAACAGAGGGGAAATGCAATCAGGCTAGAGAGGGGCACTTACGTGAAGGCCAGCCCTAGAAAGGACATAAGGCACATACAGCACAGTTAGTAGCTGAGTGTTCAAACTGAAAGCCTCAACCCCAGCCAGTCGCATGGTGTCTGAGACTTGGCCTCTGGAAGGTCAGAAAGTTTATATGCTCTGGTTGTGCTGGTTAACTGGCAAGTCTCTCCAGCTGCATAAGCTGAAGAACACACCTTCACCTCATCAGTCAGCATCACGCTTAACAAGCCTGCTCCAGCCCCAGGGTTATCACACACTACAACGGTCATAGCCAAGGGGTTTAATGCCCCTCCATCCCCACATGCACTATCCCTACTATCAGACCCCAAAGCCAAGTGGACAAGGAGAAACGATGTCTTGTGGATCAGCTGTTAGCCAGTGACAGGAGCAAGGGACTGGAAGATCTGCCCTCATAATAAACCACAGCTCTTCTGCAAGTTTCTCAGTGCCCTGGTTCTAGCCCACTGGGCAGGGACTACACCACTGGGATGGGCTTACACCACTTCTTGTTCCACAGAAGCCTCTTAGAAGCTAAACAAGCGGACAAGAAGAGTCATTTCAGAAGGCTTAGCCTCACTAGCCCTTCAGTGACTGTTAGGTCCCACTGACTCCATCTCCCATTCACATCCACCACGGGTTTGGGGCTAACCCTTCTCCAGTCAGCCATACTGCTAGCCTGCCATGGCACATGTAACTGTAAAGCAGCATGCCGGACCACCTGGCTGCCACAAGAGGGGGATTCCTAGAACAGAGAGGCCCACCAGGATTTTCTGTGGCTCATGGGCTTCCAGCAGTAGAGAGGCAGGTATGTAACAGGGGTACCAGTCTGTGAGGGGTTAATTCCACACAAGCCACACATGCTCCCTGCAGCCAGAGCTCCAGCCTGCTCCTGTTTCTCCAGGCTCAAGGTGAGGAGAGTAAGAGCTGCTCTTGAGCTGGGTGGAATAGTCTCACCTAGGGATACCAGAAGAGATAAGTGAAGCTTCTGAACTGGATGGAAGAAACCTTGGTTCCTGGTTTCTACCCTTGCTGCAGAGCAATGCTATATGTACCTCCCCTAGGGCTCTTTGGGTAGCTGTGGGCCACACAGTGACACCTGCCTCGCCCCTGTGCCCAGGGTTGGGGGGGCGAGATAGAGAGCTCACCTGTGATGAAAGCTGTACTTAGAGCCCTTGGTGTGTGGGATACTCTTGCAACCCAAGGTTGGGCAAGCCCCATGGGCTGAGGAGGCTGGTTCCTTTGGCCCTAAACCGAAGGGGAAAAAGGAGAAGGGTGGTCAGGAGGTCAGAGCCATGACAAGACAGCTGCCAGGTCACCAATGGAGGAGAGAAGCACCAGTGTTCCCTAATCCCAGCCATGCCCAATCTCATACCCTTGGCCGACCCACTGATTTTGCAGTTAGCCCCCACCCTGTCCATCCAAGGTCTTTCCTGCTTCTGTGCCATGCTCTGCTGCAGGCACACAGCTAAGGGGGCCTTCAGTACTGCATGAGGCAGAAGAGGAACAATTGAACCCACCACTCGCAGTGCTGGCTGTGCAGTGCTGACTGCACTGAATAACCCTTTGGGCTCAAGGCTGCATTTTTGCCCCTCTTAAGGTGCTCACTGCCTTCTAGGGCAAATTCCCATGGCCAGCTGGCTCATAGCCAAGAGCAAGCAGACAGGATGGACACGGGAGCAAGGCACTGAGCAGGACACGCTATTTCAAGAGAGTCACCCTGCAGGCCATACCACACCCAAATGTTGGTCAATGTCATCATGTCCCAAGGACTCTAGCTTTCCTGATCTTTCAACAGCCTTTCCAGAAAGCACAAAGAAGGGGGCTATGGGGGAATCAAAGAGGAGAGTTTCTGCCTCTGGAAAAAGGAAATAAAACAGGTGGGAGTAGAGTTGGGTGTGCATCGGTCTATCTTTCATTGTAGCAACAGCCTAATTGTTGCTCTTGAAGGATATCTGGTTGGCTTCACTAGCTGTATTATGGATTCACACTGGATCTGGCACAATGACAAAACACACACTGACAGAAATGAGGCAGCTGTGGGCTACTGGAATTGAAGCTGGTGCTGGTTCCCATTGGGAGAGGTGCCCATTTGGACACTGAGTGGGTGAGGGGATACTTCTGCTCACAGCCAGCTCTGGTCTTATCACAAGGTAACTGCAGTCTTTGGACTGAGCAGCAGCAACAGCCCAGGAACTGTGTTATTGGCTCTAGTACCCAGTAAAGAGGGTTGTCCTGGGCAGGGGAAGCCAGTGCCAGCATTCAGGGAAGAAGGCCACAGGCCCAGCGCTGGTAGGAGAGGGCAGTGGTACTGCTGGCATTGGCGTTGCTACTTACTGAAAGGAGGCTGCAGCGGGTGCCCAGTTTTGGAGCACCACCCTACAGGATGAATGTCTGGGTGATCTGCATCAATCCAAAAATCATAGACATGGCTCCAGCCATCAAAATGGATCTGAGGAGACAAGGAGACATGTCAGTGCACACCTCAGGCTCTCTTACTGAGGAGTACTAAACCTACCTGATGGCAGGAAAGCAGAGCATCCCTGGGACGTGCCATGGTGAAATTGTTATGGTATCTACAACCCCAGTGGCATGGTTTTGAGCCTCACTCTGGACTCATTCCAAAGACAATCAAAGTTCACCACTGTAAATGGGCATCTGGTTATTCAGGCTGGGAAATCATAAGTAGCCAGTGTGATCACCCACATCACTTCCTTGCTTGCCACTGGCTACAAAATAGGGTGCTTCCCCATGTCAGCTGGATGGGCCACTATGCTAGGGTGGATCTTTGACTACAGGCCCCAAGTCCTGGAGCTGTATGGCAAGGTCAGAATCTCTGCTTTAATTTCTAGCCTTGTGGTTGAAAAGAGAATGATGAACAACGACTCTGTGTGATCAACACTTGCCTGGGCCTGCAAAGAACCTGAAACACCAGCTCCAAGAGGTGACAGTTGTCCACACTCACCTTAACCTCAACACTTACTGCTGCCCCCAGGAGGAGAGAGCCATATCCTGGAATGACATAAACCTCTCTGATTCCCTATGGGAGCATGTCCTCTCTCTCAAACACGCACTTACTTCTTCCACTGAAGCTATTCCCTTCCACGGCAAGAAGGGAGAAGCTGGAGGAGTGAGCTGGGGCACAGCACAGAAGCCAGAAACCCACCTTTATCCTGTAATCCTCCACATCTTCCACACTGGACACGCGAATGAGGGAGGGAGTCCTCCTGTCCACTGCCTCCAACTTCATGTTGACCAGAAAGCTGTGCGGTGGCCGCTGTGGACAGGAAACACAGTGGGTGAGATGGCAGCCCACTAGCAGACATGTCCTTCATGGTCAGTTTTTGCTATCGCTACCCACAATCCATCACTGCTTGTCAGACAGGCCTTACACATTCACTGTGAGGCTCTCAACTCCTTAAAGATCCACCTCTCAGCCATGGTTCCTTCTGACTTCAAAGGCCTCATCAGCTGAGTCAAGGGCGGACTCAGGACAGCGGGGAATGTCCCCTTGGAGCCCAGGGTCTGGATCTGCATGATGGGGGCTTGCTGGTTGGATACAACTAGCAATGCCACTGCTACCTGTTTGAAGGCATCTTTTAGTGTACCATGATTACTGTATTCCTTAGACTATAGGATACACTTTCTAAAACACTATTTTCTTCTAAAAATAGCATCTTAAAAAAAGAGCTAAAATACTTTGTATGCACTCCATAGAAGCACCTACACTTGCAAATGTGCTTTTACTGGATGTTTTATTTTCCTGTTCAATCAAGGGCCAGTAAACTTGATGCATTCAAGGATGTCTTATAGGAATATAATGTTTCCCACTGTCTCTGATCCCAACCAGCCAGGTTTCCCAGTGTCACACCCTGAAGCCAACTAGGAAAAAAATTCAACCGAGAGTTCCCACGTGCTTCCTAGGTGAGCAGCAGCACCCAGCAGTGATTGCACTGGCTGGGGATTATAAACGGGAGTGGTTTCTGTAGCTGTGGCCCAGCCTAGGGGGACGGGCTTATAAAGCACAGGCCTGGTTTCCATATAGGCACCTCAAATGAGAGTTTAAATCCAACATCCACCTACTTTAACATCCCATGCCTGCTTGGCAGAGGCTGCCTAGGGGACAGCTCACACCACAGGCCACTTTCAAGCCCTGCAGTGGCACTCACCACTTTAAAGGCCCAGGCTGGAACTGCAGATGCACCAGTCTCCTTTAAGTATTTTTCCCAGCTGAAGTTATCTGGGTCAGGATAGTCTACAAAGAAATGTGCAGATTTAGAAACTGCTCCAGATGGGAGTCTCAATTCTCTGCCTGCCCCTACCCATGGCACCAACACAGCATTCAATCTATGCCAAGGCTTCTGGAGCTACTTGTCCCTTTTACATCACAAAGGCAATGGTAGTGGAGAGGTATTAGCAAATAACACCAGTTTCAATATCTGGCACAGTTACTTTATTCCTTAACTTGCTGACTGGCCCAACAACCGATATGTTCACCTGAGACTACCACAACTATAGCCAAGGCAGGGCTATAGCTTTTAAAACTGCCTCCCCTTTCCCCCGACACAGGCCAGCAGGCCAAGGTCACTGCTGAATGCAGTTATACACCTGGCGTTTAATGTTTCCCTCTAGTGCAGTAGTTCTCAACCTTCTTAGACTCAAGACATGTCTCATTAGACTCTGTGCAACCCTTGGAAAATACTTCCCTTAGCATCTACTCATTTTTTAATTATGGAAACATACTACACCAATTCTTCTCCTGTAGATAACTCAGAAAGATCAAAACAGGCCAAAATGTTTTTGACTTGTGGATTTGTATTTGAAATCTTGGGTTTTATCTTGTAAATTGTGCAGGTGTTTGTACACCTAACAGTGCTAATATTATGCAACACCCTTAAAAGAAACTTGTGGCACCTCACAATGCTGTTACACCCTGGTTAAGAATCACGGCTTTAGTATAGTTATGCTTGTTGCAAGAAGTATTATAGTACTTCTTGCAACGGGAAACACCTGTTGAATTACACTAAAATCCTTAGCAAGAAGCTGGCTGCATTTCATATTGGATGACTGAAGAATAAAATAGGAGGGACTGTAGGTAGCTACAGCAAGGTCTTTCCTTTAAAAAAACCCAACAAATTAAACATTCCCACCCAGGCCACATCCTGGGACTTCTTCCTTGACTGATAACTGAAATATGTACCCTAAGTTGTGTATTTACCTTGAGGAGGTGTGAGGGGTTTTCCATGCTCCTGACACCAGCCAACTGGGTGGATATACGGACTGCTAGGGTCACACCTGAAATACATAACTGTACATTTGTATGGGATAGGCATACTCCATCATTCAGTGGAAGGACACAGGAGCAAGGGCAAGGGTTCTGCCATAATGAATGCTGCAGCTGAAGCACCACAGAAGAATGCTGGGCCCAGGCAGAATGAGCACTACACGTGTTGGGCTCCAAACTGCACCCCAAAAGTTGTCCAACATCTCTTTCAACTATATAGAGGTTCCAGTCAAAGATATCACCAAACATAGATGCCAATTTTTATTTTTGTCAGGGTGGTGGCTAAGATGTGCTGTGGCTGTACTCTGGCAGTGCTGCCTCCTTACCCTGGCAGCACTGCCAGAGCACAGCCAAGCAGAGCCCATGGTGGTGTGGAGGCAGATGCAGAATGTCTGCTGTGGGGTCAGAGCTCCCCACCCTCCTGCCCTCACCCCGGGAGCCCCACACCACTGTGACGAGGCACCCCCTGCCTACCCAGCAGCAGCAGAGGGCATGACTCTGTGCCACAGTCCCTGCTGCTGCTGCCAGGTGGGCAGAGAGAGCCTTGCCATGGCAGTGTGGGGCTCCCAGGAGGAAGGCAGTAGGGCAGGGAGCCCCAAGCCTGCATCTACCTCCATCCTCTGCAGAAATCTGGGGGGCATGTGCATCACACCCTCCCCAGGAGTCCGCCCAGTGGCGGGAAGCTGCCCCCTCCCCCTCCCCCTCTGCGATGAGCCACCTCTGGCTCTGTCCTGCTTCACACCCTGGCCCCAGCCCCATGCACTGCCCTGACTGGGCAGCACCCCTGGGCCCAGCCCCTGCCCCATTCCCTTCCTCACCATGGGGGCCTTGATCTGCTCCCCTCCACCCCCATAACTGCACACACTTGCATATGGTGCTCCCTGCATAGCACTCCCTGCAGCCCTTTGCAGGGGTCCACAGCAACCTGTGTTTGTCAGTCTTCAATTAGAGACTTCCCGAGGGGGGCCAGGGCCCTTGAGCCCCCATGTACTTGGTGCCCACGTCACCAAATAAACCCTCCTTCTGACGTATTCCCTGGATCACTGCAGCTACTACAGTGCTACAATGCTGCACTGAAACAATTGATTTTATAAGAAAATACAGTTACCTTTCCTTTTCTCTAGCCTAGAGGAAAAACAGAGCTCTCCATTGTGACAGGGGCCCTATCCTACACTGGGCACCTCCGGGACCAGATGAGAGAGACAATGATGCTCAGGCTAACCATACCCTGTCAGTGCACTGTGACAGAACCTGATGCTATACCTGCTGCTCTACAGCTTACAGGCTTGAAAAGGGTTGGTACATTGTTAGCGGGGGGTGGGGGTGGGGGAGATAGGTCAGAGATCTCTGGTAAAAAGTAGATCTTAGAGATTCTGCATTTGTACCAACTGAATAGTCAGTTTTAATCTAAAATGAGCCTTTGGAATTGGGCCTTCTCCAAGTTCAGGAGGTTCCAAGCTGGGGTTTGGTTCAAGCCTTTCTTAAATGTTATTTAAAAAATACAGGGAATAGAACACTGGAGTGGAAAATGATAAGTCTTGAAACTATCTGGTCCCTTTAACTTTTGATTTTTCTTCACACTTTAAAAGGATCACCGGACATGCTCACCCTCACAGCATAGCCCAGAGCATTATAAAGGACCTTCATATGTCCTGTGAAATACATACTGCAGGAAACAACAAGATGTCAGGTTTCATCAGGACACTGATCTGTCACTGTAACCCTATGCCTATATTCTTACCAGTAGTCATAAGTGTCATCCCAGTTGTCAAAGTGCACCAAAAAACGATTGTCCACCACATCTGTCACAGTGGCAACGCATATCAAGGAAGGGTTCATTCGGTCTACAGCTTCAAGTTTCATGCCCACCTCAAATCCTGTGGGAACTTCATTCTGGGTACAGCAGAGAAACAGAGTGAGGGTTCCCTGTGTCAAGTCAGTTTGCTCTTCCAACCCAGTCTCCTCATCTCTACCCTGAGCAGATGCTGGACAATGCATCAGCACACTTCAGCAACAGCTCTGTGCCCTTCCCTACCAATTTTCAACTATGGTTTCCATAAGATCGTAGTCAATTTAACCTCACTGAGCAGCTGAGGAAACAGAGGCACAGGTAAAAGTAACTTAGCTCAGGTCATCCAAGTGGTCACTCACAAATCTGGAAAGAGAAAAAGGAATCCAATCTCCCAGACCATCCCGCACCCCAGCAGCCTTCTGCTTGGAACGTCTGACATGTCATGTGCCTTATATTTCCAGTATTGTTTTTCCATCATTAGCAACCACCTCCATTCCCGGGGGTAATTATGAGAAGTTACAGTGGCAGTATTCTGCCCTCACCTCCACTCCCCTCTCCTTCTGCCCACAATCCCTGCACTACCTGCCCATATTTTATTATGATTTCTTGGGAACTAAATTCAAGGAAAACCTTGTGTCATGAATACATGCACAGCTGAATGATAAATAGTTATGATTATCAGGCATAGTAATCACAGTTATTGTGCAGTAATTTATCAGTAAAACATATTATTGCCTGATAATGCATTTAACTGTGAGAAAATAACAGACTGCTAACTGCTGTAAGGGTGGTTAAAAAACCCAATCAGTACTTGAAATGAAAATTTACATTTAAAAAATATATATGTATAGGCAAACTACTCCTGGTTTCTCTTCCAGCCCCAGGCTTTTCTCTCCTTTGTCCAGTTTTGTCATCAAGGAAAGGAGAATAAAGGGGAAAATGGATACAAAGAAAAGATCAAGGCGAAAAATGTCAAAGTTCTGCTTTATATATTAAAAAGGCCATTTTTCCTCAAAAAAAGATTTAAACGAAAGTTTAATAACAGTTCCAATCAGCTGCATTAGAGACAGGCCCAGACCAAACCCAGTCTACGTGAACAACATCCTACATTGGAAACACTTGTGCAGTGGTTCTCTGAGTTCTCAAGTTGTTTAGACTCAAGGTAACCCGCACTACGCTCAAGGCACTCCTCAGAAAATGTCAGCTCTTAGCTTTCACTCATTTTGACTACAGAAAAATACAAAAGCAATTCTCCTGTTGCAGGGAACTGAGAGAGACTCCAACAAGGCAAAATATTTTGACACTATGGATTCCTATTGAAGTCTGGGTTTGTCCTGTGAACAATACATAGGTGTGTAGCACCCCATGCTGCCCTTAAAAGGATCTCATGGCACCCTGGCTGTGAATCACTGCAGTAGTGACTCATTCATACTGTTACCATATGCATCACATTCTTCAGCTGTCAACAGCACCTACTACTGGTCATTTCAGGAGCAGAAGTTTTACTGGGATCAGGATGGGGGGAGAAGTTTGAAGAAAGGAGCTAAAGCTATACAGACCCTCCTCGGAGAGGGGAAAATCACATGTGAACCTACAAGAGTTAGTCTGGAAGGAGAAAGAAAGAGCTGCTACTCACACTGCTTCGCATCACAAAGAGGTGTTTAGGAGCTGCCTGAGCTTTTGTTATCTTGAGATAGTTGGTCCAGCTGAATTCCTCCTCTTTGTAACCTGAACACCCTCAGGAAAAAATAGTGATTAGCTGTGTCAATCTTCAGTCAGGCAAAAGGCAGGATAGATGTGCACCTTATAGACTAATTCAGAGATGCACAAGCTTTCAGAAGCAACACTTTGCTTCTGAATTAGTCTATAAGGTTCAACTCGGCCCTGCCTTCAACCCTCAAGAAAGAGAGAGGTAACAGTAAGTGTCTGTGTGGATGCTTAGAGCTGCACTGCCAGATGTTCCAGGGCACTCTGAAGACACCAGAGTGAGATGGCCAAACACTGCCACCGCCTCCTGCCCCAGCACCTGCTCGTCTGCGCCCCGCAACTATCATGACAGACCAGACGCACACTGCAGCACAGCCCTTCCAACACCCCCCTACTGCTCCAAATGGGACGAACGGCACTGCAGGAGATAATGGCTCAGTTCTGGATGTGATGAGCAACTTTAACTCCCAGTAACATCAGCATATTCAGTTCTTCCCCAGAGTTGGGTTCCTTGTGCCTGGGTTGCAATGCTGGCCATTGTACTTCTGGTGGAAAACTGGAACCCACAAGCAATAGACTCAGCATTTCAGTGGGATTTAAATCCGTATCTCCAAAGATCATTGGCTCAGGCATTAATACATGTGCTGCTCTCCTCTGCAGGTACCTGCTTGACTTCTGATGAATACTTCCTTGCCTCCATGACTCCAATGAATGCCACAGGCTTCATGCAACCTGACTTCTAGGGCCCAAGCAGCCAACCTATCCAGAGCATCATCCACAGACTGGTGGTCACCAGCCTCTTACCTTTTGGGGGCTGGAGTTTGTGTCCCGTCTCTTCAAACCAGCCAGCAGGATGAATGTTGGGCGAGTCGGCGTTTAGCCAGAAATCGTGGCATTCAGAGTAGCCATCAAAGTGCAGGCGCATCCGGTAGCCACACACCTGCCATCAGAGAAGGAAGGAGAACTGTCCAGTTGTACCACCTCGCTGGTGTCCTAATCTCCTAGCCAGCACCATGTAGCAAAAAACGCCCATCCAGCATCTCAGGCATGAGTACTGCAAGGACCCTCCTACCACCACTTACACCCTGGGTATCTCATGAATAAAACTGACAAATCATAGCAACTCATTGGGTGTCAGGACTCAGGTAACACACTCCAGTCTGGCAGAGGTGTTCAATATAGAATGAGGAAAGGACCAAACCACTGTCAATCTACTCTCAGCAATATCCATGGAGATTTTTCTACTTTACAGCTGGTACACAGAGTGAAGCAGTCAACCCAAGGATCCTGATAGGATAAATGAGTCATAAAAACCCTGCTGAATGTAATTCCCTTCCTCACCCCTCCTTTTATGAAGTGTCCCTCCCTCCCCTCTCCCTGGATTTCATGCTGCTCTGGTGAAATCTCTGCAGAAACAAAGGAAAAAGAATGGCTGCTTTGTGGTGGGACATCTCACTCTGAACACTGGCTGAGCAATTTCTGCCATACAAATGCCATAGTTTGTGTATGGCCTGTGCGTTCTACATGTACATACTGCACATGGAAGGGGCTGGGCCAAAAGCCCTGGAAACTAAAGCCTTCACTTATATAAGAACACGTGTACACTGGGCAGAGGACCTATGTGGTGTCTCACATGTATGACTCAGCCCTCCCTGAGAAGGATTAGCTTCAGGGATCAGAGGCCATTTTTGTCTCTATGGTTCATTCAGTCCTTAGCCCCCTGACCAGACTGTGCCAGCGTAGATGCTGGCTAGTGCCAGAGGAGGTGGCAGTTTGATGATATTGCTACCAGACTTTTGGAAACCAGAGTGCAGCCACCAGCTCACCTCACCTACAACACTAAACCATTGCTTATCTCATATGTGGTGGTTCAGACACCTAGGGGGGCCAACTTTTTGCTACTGCCAGTTGGTGACCTAAAGGTCTGACCCAGGATTGGTGTCCCAAGACATCTCAATTTTCTTTGCCATCCCAAAAATGCCTTCCATCACACAGCAATGGGAAAGCTCAATGAAGGGACTAGGAAGGTCAGGCTAGCATTTCCAGCCTGAAGTTGCTTGTGTAAATGACTCAATGGAAAAGCTATCTTACCTCAGCCACTGTAAGGATAAAGTACATAGAAGGGTGCTGTGGATCAATCCCCTCCAGCTTCATCCCCACCTTAAAGCCATTCTTGTTCTGAGAAGCTGTTTGGTACTGGGGAGAATTAAAAACGACATCAGATGAATATGTCTGGTCCAGACACCAAGCACCACTCAGCAGGTTACAGCAGCTTCTCAGTCAATGACATTTCAGGAACTGAGTCATGCATTTAACCAGTTACTGTTGCCTTAAGCTACTGTCTATTTCTGGGTCTCTTTCTCTTATTGCCCACAGTTCAGAAATCCTACAGCACTGACCTTGCAATGCATGCTGCCCGGAGTGCTTGGCCTTCCCCCAGCCTAATGGCAGGAGGGATGAAACTGGGCCTCTGAGCTCCTCTCCTGCCCAGACAAATGGAGGCGAGAGTGCAGATCACAAGAGGGAAACAAACACATGTTTGCCCAGGCAAGGGAGACCTTGCATGTTAGAAAGCTCTGGAAGCAGGGGTAGAGGTGAATTAAGAGGAAGAAGAGATGGGTCCTAGTGGGGTCACCATTCCACAGTCACCCTCCAAGGACATTTGCTGAGCAAACAGACCTTGGGGGTGGAGGGCACAAAACATAGGGGGACTTAGGAGTCAGGCCAGAGCAAACTGGAGACAGGCAGTGGAAAGCTGGTTGGTTACCTCAGGGTGGAGGATGGGACAGTGCCCATCTTCACGTGCTGGGTGCCCCACAGCTAGCAACACAAGAGAGACAGAGGAGGAAAGTACAGAGGAGAGGAAGGAGAAGAGGAGGGGAAAGGAAAGGAAAGGCAAGGCAAGGAAAGGAAAATCCCAACTCACATCCTGGAAGAGATTTAAAGGGGCAGCGATGGCTTTCTGCTCCTCCAGGTAGGATGCCCAGGACCAGCCTTCTTTCTTCTCCTCACTGGCACCTGAGCTCGGCAGAAACGCACACACAAGCCACTCAGAGACACTGCTGGAGAGCTAGTTAGTTGGCTTCGAAGCTGACCCTTGAGTTGGTTTAGCCCAGGGGAAAGGCAGCCCTCTTCTCCCCTCACCATCCTCTTTACTCCAGACAGTGCAAGCGTTGGGCCCTCCTCCTGACCATTCTTGCCTGTATGCAGTATGCACCAGTGAGGGGGGAGAGGGGTGGCACAGGGCCTACTGTCCTGTTCTGTGAGTGATCCACATTGACAAAAAAGCCATTTCCTGTTCTCATTCCCATGCTTGCATCCCCACTGACTGCTGCATGGTCTTAAAAGTGCAACATTAGGCCAGTCCGGATACTTGTCCAAGCACTGGTCTGGACTCCCTCAGAACATATCCTGGCCAGCATTCCCTGCATCCCTACAGCGAGCTGTCAAGAGCCCTACAACAAATATCATATTATACAGAACAGAGAAAAATCCTAAAGAGAACCAAACAGCAGGTATGTGCTGCACCCAGATGACATCAGTTGCCTAGACGTTCACAGCTGACAAAAGGATAGGGATACCCAGTCCCCATTCAGTGTAACCCAACAGCAGGGTTCACCTTTCAGGAGCTCCATGCCAAGGTTTAGTTTTTGGTGCCTACTCTTTGAGACAGCTGTAGTGAAACAATCATAATGCAACAGGGACCTCTCAGGGCTGCCCCTGTTCAGAAACACGTGTCAAAATAAGAGGGAGCCCCAAACCAGTCAGAAAAAGGTCAATTCAATTAGCACAGGGGCTCACTGATGATCATTTGTAGAGGAAAATCTTCAAATCTGAGATATTTCTGTCCTCTATTACAGCAGGATTTGGACACCCCACAGTCTTGAATGCATTTATTTTCACAATACCAAAAGGAAAGAGACAAACATGCCCCCATTTATGGGCAAAGAGTATTCTAAGGGATTTAGGTGCTTAACTCCTGTTTTAATTCCATTAAGTGACATGCTCAAGATCACACAGAAGATTGTGGCAGAGGATCCAGTCCTCTGAATACCTGACTAGCACCCTAGCTGCTGGGCCAGCCATTCTGAGCTCATGTTGCAAAGCACTTGGGGAAATTATGAGCTATATATTATACACACATACATATTTAGTTAGTCTATAAGGTGCAACTGTACCCTGCCTTCTACCCGTCTTCAGACTAACACAGCTTACTACACCTCTCAAGATTGCTTGAACCCAGTCCCTAATCCAATCAGTAGCTGGCTCCAGAGGCAGCATATAAGAGTATGTGTCTCTTTGGTCTGACCTACTCTGACTACTCATGGGGAGAACCCCCATGTAATGCCAGGCAACATTTCAGCACAGCGCCTTGAAAGCTGTAAAGGCTACAGCAGTGGCTCCAAAGACTTTGTCATCTGAATTGCAAGTGGGAAATTTCTTGTAAGGCATCATAACTTTGCTCTATTTTTAATGGCCCAAGGTGTTACAAAGCTGTATCAAAACCAAGATGACTCTCTATAGTGTCTCTAGGCAACAGAGATCTTTGGAAATGGCACATTCACACACAAGTAACAACATCATCAGCTCCCAAGGTAAGAGAGAAATCACTGTGCAGTTTAGCCCAGATCCTGAGCAGGACATTGTGAACACATGCAAGCCAAGCATGTGCAAAGTGCACCTGTATTAATGGGAAAAAGAAGGAAAGAGAGAGAGAGAGAGAAAGAGAAAAAGAGAGAGAGACAGAGAGAAAGAGAGAGGGAAAAAGAGAGAGCAAAAGCAAGTGAGCAAGCAAAGGAGTCTACAAGCTGTCAGGAGCTCCTAAGTGCCTGCACCATGAATTGCTTGACCAGTTCCCTGAACCAACTGCATGTCAATCTCAAGCCCCAGTTCTACAGGCAAACCCACAGGTCTCCCCTGCCCAGTTCCACTGCACCTGGTTTTTTCTCCCCTTGCACTTTAACTCTGTAGGTGCTGCTGCATGAGAAGCAACCACCAGACATTGCCCTGCCATGCCCTTACCATGCTGGTTCCCGCTCCACTCTTCAATCTCGGTGTTGCTGACGGTGGAGTCTCCCCCCAGGTTTTTTCTCTCTTCCTGCTTTTCCTCCTAGACATACATATATAGAATGGGAGTTGGTCACTTGTTTGGATTTATTCACACCCAGGTCACCTATTGTTCTACCACAGACCTTCACCCTGAGCTTCTGCCTTGTATTTAAATGTTCTCTTCTCAAGCTAGCCGCAACAGTACAAACGGGCCAGGATCTGGCCTAAGGCCTCTTAAATTAGGATGATGCTCATGAATTTTTGCATGACCACATCTAAAAACTAGATGACCAAGAGGACAGAAGTCTGAAAATGTTAGAGAGGGATTTGGGAGCTGATTCAAGATTACCTTAACAGGGATACATTTGCCACTGTGGCCATTTTTTTTTTTTCAGTCAAACTAGCACTTTACACCCAGAATGTAGTGTATGCATCAAGATGGCAGTGGCTTTTTGCTTTTAAATTCAGCTCTTTATTGTAGTGTGTGCCAGACACCAACTTGAGATGCTCTCCCCAGAGAGCTGGGGGGTTGAATACTTGGCATCCACAACTAGAGCTTGGATTTTCAAAGGGGTTCAGCATCCAAAGCAAACCCAGTGGGCTAAGCCTGCCAAAAATCCAGCCTCTGATATCTGGACAACATGACAGTCCATGTATTTATTTTTTTCTTTCTTTCTGGTCTTTGGGGTTAACAGGTTAGGTTCTGATTAGCACTTGAATGTATAACTGCTGCAGCTCTGAAAACTATAAATAAGAATTTTATGGGCACACCCAGAATGGCTGTGCCCCCAGCTTCTCCACTGGCAGGTGCCTCAGTGTGTCTCTCCCTGTGTGTGTTCCTGTGCCTCCTTTGGGTTTTCCCCTTCCCTACCATTTGCTCAGACTCATACTCCTCCTCTGAAGGGCTCTGGTAATCCTTTCTTTTCCGTTTTTTCACTGGCTTGAGGATTTCAGTGACATTGGTGCTGCCAGCAGAATTCTCTACAATGACAGACCTGCAAAGGAAAAAAAGAGTGGAACCAACTGCAGCAAAATGGAGTGATAGTACAGACTGGTGAGGGATGGGATGTTGGCCAACATGGCTACAAGGTAGGTTGCATGGATTAAAACAAGCTGAAAAGACACTGTCCTTGCAATCCCTCTGCCCCCAGCTCACTGCATTTACATCTCATGCACATACACACACACGTTCAAACATATTGTTATTCATGATTACTATGAGCAATGTGTCAAGAGTCGGTGCTGTCATGACGTTAAACTGAGAGCCAGGCCTGAACTGAAATGCTAGATCTGAGTACTCTGTGGTGCTTAAAATCCAAATCTAGGTCCAGATGCAAATGGATATTCTTTTTAAAATGGTCCAGACAGAGCCTGAACTAAGCACATGGAAGGCTTGCTAGGACTTCTGAATGTTATGGCCTGCACTCATCCGTATGCTGGGGAATCAGATAAGGAAACACATGTCCTTATGGGACCAAGGGGAGAAGACCCCCAGAGGTCAACTTTGTTGTTCTTCCCCATTGTCATGTCTCTTGGGAGAAATCCTGGCCCACTGAAGTAAACAACAAAACTCCCAGTGACTCTGATGGGACTCCTAAATGTCCACTGAGAATATGTTACCCAAAGAAAACAGAGAGGGCGTTACCATCCTACAGAGATCTATGCCTAGGTTGTTCTCCTCTGCCGAAGTGACATCTCCTTTACCTTTCTTTGAACTGACGATGACAGTGTTCACTGCAGAACCCCCTGCCCTCCCGGGCCACCTCTGACATGTGTCTCCGGCCACAGGTATCACAGTGGCACATGTTCTCTGCTGTGGGCAGCTTGGGCTGCTCTGGTACATCTGTATTAATAGAGTGAAAGAGAAGTGAATCTCAAGAAAGCAAGATCTGCTGGAGAGAGAATACAAATGACAGGATTTCTGTCTTCTAAGTGACTTCACGTGGAGAAGTGGGCACACGGCATGAGTCCTGAGAAGTGATCTGGGGAGATAGATGTTGTCTTTCTGCTCTGTCTTATGGAGACCAAGCGAGGCACTTTGGAAGGGGTCGTGGAACAACAGGTTCCCAGTGCCAGTTTATTACCAGTTAAAAGCTGGGGTAGGACAAGACAGGCTGTATTATTCCTTGGCAAGATCAGAGAGAGAGAGGAAGAAACCCTTGTGAAAATTCTACCAGAAAACTGCCTACTGTTTTCCCACTGGTTCCAGGCCACCAGTTGGGCTCAGAGATACAGCAACAGGTCTAATGAGCTACAGGTTGCTCAGCTACTGGTCCTCCAGAAAACAACAAAAGAGACCAGAAGAAATCCAGAGAACCAGCAAAGGAGCAACTGGATTTCCTACTAAGGAAAGAAAAAACACTCTTTTCTGGGTGGAGTGAGAATCATTCTGGGCACAAGGAAGCAAGGCTGGGAAGCAGATCTGTCCAGCATATCCCACATCTCTGGTGACTCCAGAATCCTTTGGGACTTGCACACTCTTCACCTTCCCTGTAGGCTTCCAGGGATGTTCCAGTAAAAGCCAACTCCCTAGAGCCCCTTCACACCAGGCACAGGTGCATTAACACCATCATGGACTGAAACACTGCTCCCAAAGGGTTAAAACTACCAGATCTAAGAGAAGCAATGCACGTGGGGCTGCCTAGACAGCCAGTCAGCCACATGCCTGCTCCACAAGGCCATGGGTGATGGAGCGTGGGGAACCTTAGCAGTGCTCTGTGGAAGGTCCGGCACAGCAGGGCTCCTAATGCAAAATCAGTGACATCCCAACATGCTTACCCTGAGCCACAATGTGATTGTCCCTGCTGCTGGGTGCTACTTCCGACTCCTGATCTTTCTCCATGTGAGCTTCCTTTACAGGTTCAGCTGGTGGGATTTTATCGGCACTCATCACTTTCAGCGTCCCATACTCATTTATCCGAAACTACAACATTTATTAAAAAGAAGAAGGAAAATAAAAATATGACCCAGTAGGCAGCACATCAGATAACACACCCTGTGCCCAGTCCTCAAGAGGACCAGCATTTGTTACAGGCTCAGCAAAGCAGATGCTTCAGGCCATACCATACCAGGCTATATCATACTTATGCTCTGAGTTCCTTGGTCACCTCATTCACCTCCCAGTATATCAGTCAAGATGGCAGCCATCACAACAGCATAAAGTTAGGAAGAATAATGATGTCAGACCTAACTCTGCTGACCCCCATCCTCACACAAAAGTCTGACCTTCAGCCAGTGCTGAACAAGCCAGGACCTACCCAGGGATAGAGGGAAATGGCATTGTGGCTAAAAGCCAAGGTTGAGGGACCATGAGGCGGAAGTCTACTCCCATTCCTACTATGGGCTTTCTGGCAAGCCCAGCAGCAGCTGCAGATAGGCAGAGGGCAACATGAAGAGAATGGGAAGCTGGCTGGAGGATGGGACTATGTGGAGGGACAGGATAACATCTGGAGGACTGGACTGGCTAGAAGGGCAGAGTGTGGCCCTCAGGGTGGGATGGCCTAGAAGAGATAGGTGCAGGCTCAAGGCTGAGGTAGGGTAAAGAATAGGCCCATTTATTACTGAATGTCTAGACATCACACCATCCACATCCTCTTTCCAGCAGCTGGTCAGAGAGTTAAAATGCTATGCGCCCCCTCTGCCACTGAAAACCAGAGCAGAGGGTGAAAGCCTAAAGATGAACACAGAGTACAGGAGCCCAGGGAAGACCCCATGAACAGGAAGAAGCCCTTACGGCCCTACTTATAAATACTGGATTTCCCATCAGTTCCTAATTCGCCTTTGAAGCACTGGGCTGGAATTCAGGGGCTTGTGTTCAAGGAGCTCCACTTACTCGCAAGTTGCTCCCAGGCAGAGTAGCTACCCCATCCTTCCACTCCAGGACCCGAACCGTGTTGCAGGTCTGCACCCCGCTGATCTGGGGGATGACAGTTGCTGTCATGGCCTCGTTCCCTGCCCCTCTCTCAGGTCTCTCAGCTGCTGTGTTCCTCTGCGACTCCCGAGGAAATCGCTGGATTTCTAAGGTGCTGGTAGGGAGGTTGATGGCAGTTGCATTTGCTTGAGACAGAATTGAAAGAAACCAAAAAAGGCAACACTTCATGTACATGAGCCAGGGCAAAAGCCAGTGCAGCTGCCGCACCTTAGCGCAAAGGGGCCATGCAACCTCCTAGCCCAGGCACCCCATCCAGTCTCATGCTCATCATTCCTTGAATAGCCTTGTGTTTGCTTTCAGCTTTCCCCTGAGAGGCAACTAGCAGCTGGGTCTGACCTCCCTCAAAGTGGTAGGTGCTTGCTCCAAGTAGGCTAAGGCATGTAAAGCCCTGATCCTGAACTTGGCACATGTCAACAAGAGGTACAGAGGTAGCTGCCTACAACCTCTGCTGAGTTCTGGAGGGAGACAGCACGGAGCCAGCAGAGGGAAGAGGAGCACTTGATCTGCAGGGGAGAAGGTGGGATGGTTGCCGCATTGATCACTCAGTCCTGGTTTGTCACAGCAAACAAGATCATAGGGCCTGGTTGTCCTTGATACCAAGGCCCCTCTGCACCACTCTGGCATTGTAACATAGGCGTGAACTCCAGCCAGGCTCATTTTCAGGTCAGAGTTGTGTAAAGTAAACTCTGGATACCTTTAAGCAATGCTTGGATGCTTATCTTGCTGGGGTGATCTGATCCCAGCTGACTTCCTGCCCCTTGGGTAAGGGGCTGGACCTGATGATCTCGCAAGGTCCCTTCCAGCCCTAATGTCTATGAAATCTATGAAGTGGCCCAAGTCAGGTGTGTGACATTTTAAATGTCAGCTATGTCCAACAGAAATGGCACCACAGACATAATTCTTTCCTCAGTCCCCTCCAGCCTTACGACCCTGCTCAGCATCCCACATGCTGGTCCCAGACTGGGCAACACTACTGGTCAAGTGTCCTTCCAGTCTGATGTGACTCCCTGAACTACTGTCATCTGTGGTGCAGCCCTGCACCTGGTCAGGCACTGGTTGGCAATGGCTGGAGAAAAAATAGCATCCACCCCTTATAGACAAAAGGCTTGGTCACAGCCATCCAGGCCTAGAGCACTCTTTGGCTAGGGTGCTACAATGTGCTCTCTGTCTGGGGATGGCAGAAGACAACGTCCAGAAAGGGTAGATTCCTGTGTCTGCTACAGCTACTTTGCATGGCACAGGTGATGCAAAGTGGCCCATTCTAGCGATAGGTGGCCAGCAAATGCCTTCTGAGAGGGGTAACTCTCACAACTGTAAAACTGATAGAAATATCACAGCCACCTCCAGTGAAGAGAAAAGGAAGGCATGCACTGGGGGAAGTGGCTGTCAAACAAGGGATTTGGGGCTTGTAGTTGTGTACTGTAGCACCTCAGTTCCTTCTATGTCCTTTATTGGATCTAGTCTATTAACAATGTTGAGGTACCTGGGGACCATAGAGACACAGTCCTGGGAAGTACTTTGGAGAGAGCCAACCCTAGGCCCTGGTGCTAAACCACATACCTGGTATGATGAAGGCAGTTGTTGGCAGGTGTGTGTTCTGCACAGTGTTCTCATTGGCAACCAGATGGATGCTGACCTCCCTGGCAGTGTTCCCTTTTGTGCTTCTCATGACCTCCATTTCTGCTCTGCCATCCATCACCCTGTGCGGACATGTAGTAGAGATCTAGAAAAAACCCAGTAGGGGTGGGGTCTGGTTAGGGCTTGGATGGTGTGAACTCAAGAGAGGATCAAAGATAGATGGTATGAGATGGAACACCTCGCAGTCTCTTCCAGCAGGAGTGACTACAAAGACTATGTGTCACTCACAACAATAGCTGTCCCAATCTCTCCCAACAGGAATTTCTGCAGAAAATGTCATGGTAGTACTAAGCAGGGAGAAAAAAAAAATCAGTATATGGCAGACACCTTACTTTTATCTTTGCTAAAGACCCCACTGAGACCACAAAACATCGATTTTCCTGGCATTTTACTTTAAGTTCTTATGAAAGGAAATAGTTAACAGCTTGAGACTTTTAATTAATTTTCTTCTCAATTTTTAGCACAACAGAGCTCTGTTCAGATGCCTTGATTTAAATCTGGCTGCACAAAGCACTCTCCTTGTCTGAGAGAGGGGCCTACATTTAGGGACAAGCTATCAAGATCCAGTGAGGTTGAACTTATTTTGTTAAGAATTCCAGTGGGGAGGGTAGACAGAAAGGTTGATAGCAGCCAAAGGCTGGATCCAAATCAGGTTCCATCTACAAAATGGAGATAATAATAGCTCTAGTTTTCTTTCTAGGACACCAGATAACTAAGGACTATGCTTAAAGCAGGGGTGGCCAACTTCTGACATGAGTGCCACGAGTGGCATGGGCAGTCCGTGTGTGGTATGTAAAGAGATTGGGGAGGAATCAATAGCACAGCTGCTGGTAGGCAAAGCAGCAGAAAACAGAGCAGGAGATCAAGCAGTGGGCACAGATTAGGGAAAAGAAAGCAGAGCAGGCGATTGGTAAAGAAAGGGGATCAGAATGGTACTTGGGGAGGATGCAGGTCTAATTTGTGGTATGTCTGCCAGAAAGGTTGGCCTCCACTCAGGTTGAAAGGTGCAATGTAAAATAGAGTAACAAAGAGCAGCAACACAGTTACGGAACAAATACCTGTAGCAAGTAACAGATCAGAAAGGTCAGATGCTGCAGAGCTGTGTGGATCAAACAAGGGTGCTGGGCAACCTCTCATCAATACAATGGTCAGCTGCCTATCAAGAGAGAGGACTATGAAGTGCCAAGTCATTGCCCTCAATCCAATGACCTGGAAATCAAGTTAGGTTTAGCAAACACCAAGCACTTTGGGAACAAGACTTGCAAAGAAGTACAGACAGGAGAAAGTATGCTGCTTCCGCAACTGGTGGCAGTGGCAAATGAGATACAGCACTTGCCATGCTGGGCATATTGAGCATACCAGCTTATGAGCGTGTTTCTATATAACAGAGTTCCTACGTACCTCTATACGTATAAGGACATTTATTTTTTTTATACAGAATTTATAACATCTCTTTTCCCTTAACAGAAAGGAAAAATAGCCAATAAGGCTATAGTCTTTAAACTTTACAGCTGGAGCCCTGGGTTCTGACCCCACTGCTTACATCACCTTGTAGCTAAAAGATGGGGTATAAGAGAATTTGTGGGCTTAACGGAGGAATTACTGGGTGAAGCTCTTTGGCCTGTGTTCTGCAGGAGATCAGATTAGAGGTTCAATATGGTTCTCGATAACTTTAAAACATTATAACAACTGGACTCTGGAAGCCATTCCCAGAAAACAACAACAACTTCATTAATATAAAACCTTGTGAACAGTGCTCCACAATCATATGCACCAGTAGATGGCACTTTTAAGTTTTACATATATACACATATAGTTAGGTTTATAATTATAATGATAGTCATAAAGAGCTTTTATATGAAGTTCTTGCAAAATAATCATGTTCAGTTATTTGAGTACAGGAAGCTGAGAGAAAGGCAAGTACAACTGTATGGAAAGTATGCCCCTGCCAGAAGCTTAAATAGTATTTTATTTTGCTTCTTGTGGTTTAAAGGTGTGTCTATGATGGTAATAAAAAAATATAAAATATAAGGTTGTACTGGGCACTCTTTTTATCCCTTTGAGTATTTGCTGTAGTAGTTGGATATTCTCTTTCTTTTCTCCACCAAGGAACTTATTAGGTATCTGGACTGAGAGACAGAGTCCCCAACCAGTGGGAGATACAGTCTCTAATGCCCCTCCAGAGTGAATGTATAAATTACATTTTTCAGCACCAAAGGTTAGATGTTACAAAAGCATCTAACTAAGGTAGAAGCCTAAGTCCCACTGAAAGCCAAAGCGAGTTAGGTGCCTGATAAATTTAGGTGCTTTGATAAATTCCATTAGGCATCATCTTTTGACACCTAAATCTGCCCTCAGTCTGATATTTCAGTTTTGTGAACAATACGGGTTTTGAAAAGTCTAATCTGGATCTCATATTTTTATGATTATCATTAATTTTAGTGGATTTTTTTTCAAATAAAGTATCTGTCTTTGTATGTCAGGAACTCCAAATACAACAGCATTTTGTGCTAATGCAGGGCAACTCTGGAACAAAGAAACTCCTAAATATAAAGTAAAATAAAGCAACCTAAGTTCAATGTCTAACCTGAGCCATAGTCCAGCAGCCAGACTGATGCACTTCACCCCACTTTCATGAGGAAGACCAGCACTGTAAATACAAAAATCAAATAATAACATGGGGAAAAACCAGCAACAGTCAGATGACCAAGCTAGGCCTTCCACTGGGTTTCTGCACAGATGTGAGTAATGATTTTCTCTGCTTAAAAATCCCAAATTCTCTAATTAAACACCCCAAAATCTGCATTTTTCCATGATTAAAATAAAACACCACTATATACAGGTATCGGCTGAACACAATATTCTTTTGACACATTTACAATTTTAGAGCAACCTGGAAGCCTAATAGTGCCTCAATAATTATAATAAAATAAATTCTAAACATCTATATATTTTGGCGTTTGAATTTGGTTTTCTTATCATCGAAAATCAGAGCTCCCCCTGCCCCCTTTGCTCACCAAGATGTAGGACCGACTGCAGCTGTCCCCCTCACTGTTTTGTGGCACTGGGCAGCCCTGATATGCCAGTGACCCTCATTTCCAACCCAGAGTATCCTGGCCCTGCCAGTGCCCCTCACTCCTGACCCACAGTACCATGGCCCTATTGGTGCCCCGCACTCCCAGCCCACAGCTCCCCGGCCCTGCCAATGTCCATCACTCCCAACCTGCTGTCTCCACGACTCAAAGGGGAGAGGTGTTCAGGAAGAATGGTTGCTCCTCAAGGGAGCGATCCTGAAAGCACAAGCAAAGGCAGCAAAAGGGCACAGCAGCCCCCTTGACTCTGCAGGGAACTAGCGGACCTCCTGCATCTAAAAAGAAAGGCCTATAATGGATAGAAGGCTGGATCCACCCCAAAGGAGGAGTACTCTGCACTGGTCCAGACCTGTAGGAAGCAAACCAGGAAAGCCAAGGCTGTGACTAAACTCCAATTGACTACACATATTAAGGGCAATAAAGAGTCCTTTTTTGTGGGGAGCTGGAGGAAAAGCAAGGGTAACATTGGACCCCTGCTAAACCATATGAGTCAACTGACAACTGGCACCCAGGAAAAAGCCAACCTGCTCAACAGGTATTTTGCGTTGGTTTTTCACCAGCCTCAAGGGACGGCCCTGCCCAATACAGTATGGGATGGCCAGAGCGAGGGAGAACTATTACCCCACATCAATGTTGACCATGTAAAGGAACTCCGTGAGAGGTTGGACACCTTCAAGTCAGCTGGTCCAAACAGCTTACACCCCAGAGTACTTAAGGAGCTGTCAGGCATCATAGCTCAGCACGGATCTTCGAGAACTCGTGGCACTCAGGCAAAGTGCCCGAGGATTAGAAGAAGGCCAGTGTGGTGCCAATCTTCATGAAAGGGAGGAAAGTAGATCCAGGGAACTACAAGTCCATCAGCTGACCTCCATCCCCAGGAAGAACTTGTAGAAAATCATCAAAGAAACCATTCTTGACAAACTGGCTGAAGGCAACTTCTTGAGGGATAGCCAGCATAGGTTTGATGCGGGTAGGTCTTGCCTGACCAATCTCATCTCCTTCTATGACCAGGTGACATATCACCTGGACAAGGGAGAAGACATTGACATCATATATTTCAACTTTAAAAAAGCTTTCGATCTGGTATCCCATGATCGTCTTACAGAAAAACTGGGCAACTGCGGCCTTGGCTACATCACAGTCGGCTGGCTGGGGAATTGGCTTCAAGGTCAGACCCAGAGAGTGGTAGCTGACCGAAGTCAATCACTGTAGTGCACTGTGACTTCTGGGGAACCCCAAGGCTCTGTCCTTGGGCCTATCTTTTTCAACATCTTTATTAATGGTGTCGACATTAGTGTTAGGAGCGGACTGGCCAAGTTCGCTGATGACAACAAACTTTGGGGTAAAGCGTCCACGCCTGAGGACAGGATGGTGATCCAGGCCAACCCTGACAGGCTCCGAAAATGGGCGGATGAAAACCTGATGGCCTTCAACTCCAAAAAAATGCAACATACTCCACCTTGGGAAGAAAAACCCGCAGCATGGGGGCAGTGCTAA